AGTTGGAAATCAAGCCACATATACCATTCCACATCTGACATCAGTGCGGATTCGCACTTTTGTCAGAAACAAGTATCAATTCGAAACACGGGCCGAAACCTATCACGGAGTGTTCTGCTGGCTTCAACAATAATGGGCAGCGTACAGGATCCGTGGAATTAGTCACTAATGTTCTAGACTCAACGCGGCACAACCTGATCTCTCCTGCGGACAATTACTTCCAGATCAGTGGCGTCAGGGTGGGCAAATCGGCTGCGAATGGAATCGTGGATTCTGGGCTCTTTGACTTGAGGGCTCATTCAGCTGTACAGGTGAGCTATCTTCCCCAGCTTCGTGCACGCAACGGATATGTCAATAATGAATTGTGCACAGGCATGTGTGACTGGAAAAGTCGGGCAGATCTTGCGGGCCATTACAGGGCGGATATACGAGTGAGATCGAAAGTGCTTGGTGTAGACGATGGTTGTATTGGGAATGGTGCTTGGAATGGCTTGCTTGATTGTATCCGGAGTTAGTGCTGCGAACTTTCCGCTGTATTCGAGTTTAGCGACCGATGTTGAGAAATTCATGGACACGGATTCGCCCGAAAATACCCTCATCGCTACAGATGATGTCCAGATAGTGAGTGCGTGTCGCAGCTGATGATTGTGAGCTTGGTCGGTGACCTTACACTGTACTATGGAGAGACAACTTCTCAAATAGCGTTTGCAAGGTTTCGTCGCGTCGGCACCACCCGTCGGCGGAAGCGGCTCAAAAGGATCCGGCGCTATTGACGAGCTACCCGAGTAACGTGGCAGCTGCGTCGTGATGGAGGTGTAACTCGGCCGCTACATTTCGTTATCAACGGCCAACAGTCTATGTAACATCACCACCCATTCCGCCACCTGTACCATAGCCCTGCGTCTGTACATATAGCACCTCCTCCGACACCCCGCCAACCCTCATGCGGTCGATCACGAGCACCGGCTGGACTGCGTCTCCCTCTCGGCCATGTCGTCTGTCTTCTCGCCAGACAGTCCCAATGCCGGCTCCCCAAGCTCAGCGCGCTCTGCTTTCCCATTTCCTGCCCAGGATGGATCACGACCGGCATCGAGTAGACTGCGAAGGGGGAGCTCTGTCAGCACTATGTCCGCGGGCTCCATAGGCGGCGCGCTAGATATTCAGAGTCGAAGGGGCAGCGCTGTTCGAGAAACGTCCCAAAATGCCATATCGACGTTGCTGCAACCGCCTATAGTGCGCACCGGTCTTCTTCCACATACAGCGGCCCAAGCAGCCGCGACGGGCTTCAAAGCACCCACGACGAAGGATATTCCTCCTGTAACGTTGACAAATGTGCCTCACGTGCCACCGGAGAACTTTCGTGAATATTTAAATCGCATCGGGCCACTGTTCGAGAGCTTCCAGAGAGGAAGGGCAGAAGCAGAGCAGCCAGCATGGTTGAAGAAGGACAAGGATCTGGAGAAAGCGGAAGCATTAGAGAGGAGGCTGAGCAGGCAAGATGGTTCGGCACCCCCCACACCCATCATCACGAGGCAGAGCTCTACCGGCGCACTGTCTCCCGTAGAATCACCAGGCCCTCCTCGAAGGAGGTCATCAGCACAGTTCAGGCGAAATCGCAACGAGCCCACACCCTTGTCTACGATACCGAACGTATATTTCGACGAAGACTTTCACCTCGAAAATCCTAGGACATTCGATGTTGTTTCAGAGCGCTCAGAGATTGTGCGGCCTCCGCCAGGCTCGCAACCGACTCCTGCTGCGAATGGTGCCGCACAACTGCCTCGAAAGACCCTCGCCAATAATGCTATTCTGCAGGAGAAGCTCAGTTGGTACATGGATACCGTCGAGGTGCATCTCATTAACAGCATTAGTACGGCGAGTTCTGGTTTCTTCGCTGCTCTGGGCTCTTTGAAGGAGCTTCAGACGGAAGCAGAGCAAAGCGTAGCCAAGATTCAGGGATTGCGCGAGGATCTCAAGAAGTTGGATCAAGAGGTTGCGGTCTCTGGGCTGGAGGTCGCGGCAAAGCGGAGGCGGCGAGAGAACGTCCGAAAGCTGAGAAGAGCCACGGCTCAAGTGCAAGACGTGGTGGAGAACGTGAAGAGGGCAGATGAGCTGGTTGATCGTGGTGCATATGACGAGGCTGCAGATCAGATGGATCGTGTTGGAAGACTAGTATGCGGACAACAGGAACCCGGGCAAGAGCAGCAGGAGCTCTTGGATCTGCGTCCGCTGAAAGCACTGCAGGGGCTGGACTCTGGTCTTCAAGAATTGCAATTGCGGATAGGCACCGGTTTTGCACAGCGCTTCACGGCAATTTTGATCGACGATCTACGGCAGCATGTCCAGAAAGTGCCCAACAGCCATACTCTGAAACGATGGTCGCGACAGCGAGGCATCCCACCCACGTACATGGAGACGGACGAGAAATTCCGCAAAGATCTCTTATCGGCGTTGACCGGGCTAGCGCGTGTCGGGCATACCGCACCAGCAAGTTCCAAGTACCGAGACGACGTTAACAAGGAGGTCAAAGCCATCATCCGAAGATTTATGCCCAGCAGCAGTGACGACGACGCAGACAGCATGGTTTCGACGTCCACTACAATGTCAAGAGGCGGAGGGAAGCGCAGTCAGCAGGAGAAGAGTCTTGTCCTTGCTCGTAACTTAAAAGCTCTGGACCCCGAAGACGCAGAGAAGCTATTGATCAATGTATACACATCAATAGGGGAAGCGCTTCGAAGAGTATCAACTCAGACGAAAATTCTGCTGGACGTCACAAGCAGCATGGACGCTCCGGAGGCCAAGTCTCCAATCTCACCTTCAGGCTCATCGCAACAGCCCATTCTGGACGGGAAGCTTGCCAATGGCACTGCGTCAGAGACTCCAGCCACGGTACAGGAACAGCTGTCACAAGCTCTCGATATGTCTAGTCTGCTGGGACAAGCCGTAGACACCGCCCAATCGCAAATCACAAGGGTCCTAAAAGTCCGTAATGAACAGACGATTCGGTTGCCTAAGGCCTTGTTCCTGCGATACTTCACGCTGAACCGGCTGTTCGCCGACGAATGTGAGGCTATAAGTGGTAGGGGTGGTACTGCATTGAAAGGCATCATCAACGCGCAGATCTCTGGATTCGTCCAAGTGCTGGGGACTTCGGAGACTGAACGTATCGCTAATGTACTGGACAGCGACAACTGGAATGCAGAGGACTTTAGTGATAAGCAGAGCGAGCTTCTGCAGCGGATACTTGCGTCCATGACTAAGGATCCTCCCGAGTGGCTGCAAAGCACAGCGACGATCTGGGAGGATTACGCTCCTGCTACAGCGCAGACTAATGGCATCAGTGCCGGTGAGTCTGCTTCTGGGACTACGGTGAACGGCACAGCTGCCATTGCTGGAAAAGCTGCAACCGCAAAGCCAGCCTACATCGACGAAACACGCTTCATCCTCGTCTCCAGTGCGTCTTCGCTCCTGGAAAGCATCGACATCTTCCTCTCCCTCACCGCTGCTATCCCTAGCATGACACAGCAGATTGCGACGTCGCTTCTGGAAGTGCTTCGAACATTTAACTCGAGAACGAACCAGCTTATCCTAGGTGCTGGTGCTACAAAAATCGCAGGCCTGAAGAACATCACCACCAAACATCTTGCGCTCGCATCTCAGGCTTTGAGCTTCGTAATTGCTCTCATACCATACATGCGTGAATGCGTGCGCCGGCATCTGCCTTCTGGTCAAGGCAGTATTTTGGCCGACTTCGACAAGACCAAGCGTCTGTATCAAGAACATCAGTCAGGCATACACGACAAGTTGGTGGATATCATGGCTTCTCGATCTACATCACACGTCAAAGCCATGTCCAACATCGACTTCGATGCAACTGCTCCTGAAGACAGACCAAATGCATATATGGAGACTCTGACCAAGGAGACTGCAACGCTGCATAGGGTGCTCTCGAGACATCTATCAGAGATCGACGTGAGTTTGATCATGCGACAGATCTTTACCGCGTACAAAGAGCAGTGGACAAAGGCCTTCGGTGACGTGGACGTCAGGACTTCGGCGGGTGGGAAGAGGCTTCTTCGAGATGCAGAAGCTCTCGAGGCACGACTTGGGAAGCTTGATGGCTTCGAAGCTATTGGAAAGGAACTCGTTGCTGTGGTAAAAGCTAAAGTCTCTGTTGAGTTCGATATGGAGGAGGAGGCGAAGAAAGAAAAGGAGGCAAAGAAGGTACCCGAAGTCTCTGAGATCAAGACAAATGGCGAAGCCAAGGCTGAAGAGAAGAAGGCAGAGAACGCCGATGTAGCTGTTGAGCAGGACAAGAAGTAGTACTTTCTAAGACTCGATAGTAGAAGACAATGCAGAAGTGTGCCACTGTGGGTTCCTCTGGGATCATTTCACCTCCAGTTCGACGATCGGAGCATAGCAGCTGTCGATTTGCACCACAACACAATGACCACCATGAGTCCCAGCAATACCGGAGAGCGAGAATCTGAAGACACTGAAAATATGAAGAAGTTCAAACAATTACTTTTGACTACGTTGCGATGCACGAACACTCTCATCTCCCAAACAATGCGGAACAATCAAACAAGAAAGGGCCTCAAGAATCCCAAATCGCTCCGTAAGCCGGAACCTTTCTCTTTTCCAAGTTGTAAACAATCTCATGCGTGACGGCCGGATTGCTGATTACAATCACGGCCTCAGCGTCGAAATCCTGGTAGGCCGCGTAGGTCACCTTGACCAAACTTGGCATGTCTTCCTCTTTGTAGCTGGTCTTCTTTGTATCGATGATAATGGCGTCTTTGTCAGCTCGGAGGATGTTCTGAATGTTGGACTTTCCGTAGCCCTCTAGAGGAAGACGGGCAGACCATACGATTCGCATTGCCCACTCGGGATGGACGTTGATGAAGGAAAGACAGGGGCCGATTCCGCTGCCTGTTGCGACGAGGACGATACGTCGGAAGACCTTGGCGATGCGTGCTACACCGAGGGCTGGCACGCCGCGGGTCCAGAGGTATTGAGGCGGATTGTCGACGAGCTTCTTGGTCCAGTCGCCGTTGTTGGCCACGAGGACGGAGAAACCGGGTTGATTATCTGGCTCTGGGATTGTGGCGAATTTGTGGTTTTCGACAAGGGGTGCGCCGGACAGGGCGATACCTGCGCAGGTCGGAAGGACTTTGTTGGTGTTGAAGTGGAGCTGGGTGGCGTGCGTGGAGAGCTTTTCCGCTACAAAGGTAACCTTGCGGAGGAAGAGCCAGGGGTAGATGAGCAGGAGTGTCGTGGCGATCAACATCCAGAATGATGGAGTCTTGACGAGAAGTATGCCGAGGTTCTGGGACTCCGTGGCGGCATCCGATGCACTGATGCAGAACAGTTGAACCCAGAAAAATGCGACTGTTGTCCATCCGGAATATCGATGCATGAGCTCCCACTGGTTATGGAAGCGTGCTCTGAACCACGGAATGGAGCCGATCGTGAGGACGCCGAACATCAGAAGAATGATGACAGAGGTGGCCAAGACGATATACTTGTACGCTGCGTTGCTTGCTGGCCAGTTTTGCACCAGGACGGCGAAGAAGATGTACCATCCCATCGAGGATACTCCGCAAGCAGAATGCACGCCTCCATGGCAATAGATCTTGGCTGCGTGTCTTCTGACCTGGACCGACCAGGAGTGCGGAAGACTGAGCACGCTGCGGAACAGCATGTTGATGCAATGTTCTTGCCTCATCATTTGAGCTCCCAGGATATTGGCGGATACTGCTGTCAATGCATCGGCGTAGGTGAAAATCTTCTGCTGGCCCTTGACTCCAGCCACCACCGCGAAAGCAATGATAAGGATCATGTTGATTGCGATGACGGTCGCGAAGAGCCTTTGATAGACGGCAAAGTGACGATAGCGGATCTGGTTGTGTGTCTCGCCATGTCGGGGCTCGGGCATTGGATATTCGTCCGCGAGTTGTTGGAGCTGCTCTTTCGCAGCGATGTGGTCGTCCGCGCAGTCCAAACGCTCGATTCCAAATTTTGCACCGATTGAGTCTGCTGGTCGACCTTCGGCGCCGCCAGAATGTTCCTGGCCTCGAGTCACGCCGGTGATGATGTAGCGATACGTTCCTAGACCGTGGCTCTCAATTTTGGCGAGAATCTCGTCTGGCGAAGGGACTTCCGCGATCGAGACACCAGAAGATGCTATCGAGAAGTCGGAATGCCCGCGATCTGCCCTCTGTGGTCGAGAAGACCTCGATCTGTGTCGGTGGAGATGTCCGCTGGGCGCCACTGTAGCTGGACATGGTTCCTGTACTTGAAGGCCGGCTTCAAGTTGTGCTGGCGTTGGCTCAACGTCTTGGGGCTGCGGCGCTCCAGGCGCATATGCATGTGTTGAATGCCGTAGAGAGGACAGGAATGTTCTGTCTTGCGTTTCCATCATGTTTTCGTGGGCAGTCGTTGGTCTGGACATTGTGCGTTTCTCCCTAGCACCTCTTGTGCTTCAGGGACCTATTCCCGACTGCGTCAGTGGAAGTGCCAACGGAAATTTTTCCTTCGTTGATGACTCGATGAACGTTCGTGAAGGGAGCAAGACAAAGAAAGCTATCGAGCAAGGTTCTGTGAAGGTCGAGTCTCGTTCAGGTATGGCAGACTTGAGCACGAGCGAAATTGATGATTCCATCTCGACAGGAGCCGAGTTCCGTGGCAGTATAAGAAAGAAAAGAGATTAGGGGAATGCCGGAAGGACAAAGTCACCCGAAGGTCAAAGACTTTCTTCCCGTGCACAAACGCGTACTCCTGCACCCCACACAAATAACAACTTTGTGCCGCATAGTCTGCATGGCGATGCAGGACGAGTGGATTTTCCCGAAATAGGATCGAGTCCTGCGTGATTGGTGGTTCATGACTTCAGCTGATCAGCTCGCCTCTACAGCCGCAACTTCGAAGTACGCACACTGATAGACGCCGCAGCCTGAAAGTATGCATACCCGAGAACGTTAGTATCGGCTGTGCTGAGCGTTAGCGGGCTGGTCTAAATATGGCTTACTCCATCATTCACTGGAGGGTGCATTGTTGATCGCCACTAGTGAGGCTATCGTTCGAGGCGGCCCAGCGAGGCTGTATGCCAGATGTCGCGACAAATACCTCTCCACGCACGTTCACGCGTCCCGGAGCAATGGAAACAGGCGCCTCAGTGGAGTCGGTGGCTGCGGAGTATGGCTCGTATGTGTTACATAACCAAGCATACAAGCTTAAATTGACGTTCCTGTCGCCTGATGCGGTATGTGGCTTGCACCGTCCGGTTCTTGTCGGTGCTTTGAATACGATTAGGGCCAAATTACTCGAGGTTGGAACATTTCGGGAGTTGTGACGGCATCAAGGACTGCCTGTTCTCGGATCAGCTTTTTCGCAATGGCTCATTTTCGCTGCCGATTGCCCAATGTCTTCGGCCAACATTTGCTATGGCCTTAGCTAAGCAAGGGACGTCCATTCGCTCGGCGATCATCGACGATTTTGCTCCTAGAAAGTGGTGCAGTGGGCTGCGCAACAGCTGGTCAAATGAGGCCAACACAAGCGAACACACGGCACCCCATACTGGCTGCAATCGATAGCCTTCATGTCCACGAAGAAAACACACCGGGCGGCCTCGGCCCACAGAACGCACATGCTCGGCATCAAGATGTCAGCTTACCCGGTCATCAGTTCATTGACACCCAGTCGATGGTTGCCGTCGCCTCGTGATCGTGCCGTTAAGTAGTGTGTTGGACTATTGGGCTGTTGGGCTGGATCCTCAGTTGTCATGGTTGTGTACGTGCAGCCTTCCACTGAGCATGCTTTTGTCGTCGATCACGGAAAAGCCAGTCTCCCACATGCTATCGAGCGTTCAGCCCCGATGCCGCAGTATGCGCTCCAATTCGAATCCTGCAGCACTTGTCGCCTTGTTAAATCCTGAAGGACCTGGCGCAGCCTCGGACTGGTGTGGTGGGCTGGCAGGTCGGCATTTCGCTGAGGTATAAGTCACGATTGTGTCGGCTCTGTTTGACACTATGCATCGTTACTTCTGGGTGCCCACTCATCATTACCTTTCCTGGTCCATCCCTCAGAAATTGGGTCATCAGAATTCTTTGTCAACCAAGAAGATTCACTATCACTTATAATTTATGCTGCCCTTTGTCCGAATGTTGAGTGGCGGTCTGACCATTACGGACTCGAGCTCTCGGCATACAATAGCCTTGTGTGCCACACCGAAGATTAACTCGCGAAAACGAAGTGATTATGGCTTTTCTACAGTGCTCTTGCAACATATTAGCAACTCGAGACTTCAACTTCTACCATTATACGTCGAACGACGCTAGATCTGACTGCAGACTCACTCACGAACTTGATCGCCGTCTCTCCAAAATACGAAAACATCAATTACAAGCCCCAGGATTCGAAGATCCACCTTCACTCCGAGTATCACTCGTACGCTGGCCGTACTTGTTTGCCAATCTCTGGCCAGGTGGGGAACTCGCTGCAGTAATTATGGGGCGAAGATATTCAGCTCACTTGGGGAGCAGAGGCTCTCAGAAACCCAATCCCTTCCCTACGATGAACATCAACAACACTGGAGAAATGCCAGCCTGTACAGTCGGCAGTGCCAATGTCGTACAATTCGCATTCTCTGGGGACTACAATCCCCGTCAACCAGTACTAATCGACGCTGAGAACCCTGCTCGATTCATCACCAAAGAGTGCGCCCTGCAATTGACCGCAAGTTTGACAGGCGCCTTCCCGAGAAACTCCACCGTCTGTCTTGCGATTCCAAACGACATCACATATCCTGTCATCTGTATGGGAATTTGGACATCGCAATGTCGTTGGACGGGGGTCAACCCAGCGTATTCGACGCCTGAATTGAAGCATCACTTTACGGTATCGGAAACCAAATACGTGATTGCAGGAGAGGAGCAACTCGAAAAAGTCCGCAAGGCGGTTCAAGACACCAACATCGAGATCATCCTCTTCTCCGACCTCCTTGAGTCACGACCGGCAAAAGGGCAAGAGGTCTGCGCAGTACGTCCAAACCCACGAGACGATACTGTGCCGCATAGATACCGATGCCTCCACGAGCTACAACGAACGACTACCGCCGCTAGATTCTACGATGCGATCGATGCGATCGATCCAAACTCCATCGCATCCCTTTTCAGCACATCTGGAACTACTGGCCTACCAAAAATGGCCGCTCGGCCTCACAAGTCGCTCGTTCTCGAAGCCGCTGCTACGAAGGACAACCACGAAGCGAAGCCATACCAAGTCCGACGACTGTTCTGCACTCCAATTTTTCACGCATTCAGTACTGGAGAAATGGTCATCAACAGTCTACGCCTTGGTCAGCCGACCTACTACATGAAGCGCTTCCATCCATCAGCCTTCCCAAAGGCAATCGAAGACTACAACATCACCGAAACCTTCGCACCTCCGCCGCTCATCCTGAAACTCGTCGAGGACTCGAGATCCCACTCCCAGATCCAATCCCTTCGAAACATCTACTCAGGCGGTGCACCTCTCGTCCCCGAACTCAAGAGCCGCCTCGATGCCATCTACGACAATAACCCCAGCGGTCCACCGCGAGTCACCCAAGTCTACGGTATGACAGAAGGTGGTTGGTTCACGACGTTCAAATACGATGAGCATGACACCACAAACTCCATTGGTCGTCCAATCAAAGGCTACGAGATCCGCGTTGTAAATCGCGAAGGCTTCAAAAGCTTCGAAGGCCGCCAAACAGGAGAGCTTCTCGTGCGCGGTCCGATGCTCATGACCAAGTATCTCGGAAATCAACAAGCCACCGTCGATGCATTCGAAGACAGCTGGCTGAAGACAGGCGACGTGGGCTACATCGTCGACGGCAAAGTCTACCTAGTCGATCGCTGCAAAGACTTGATCAAAGTGAACGGCTTTCAAGTCTCTCCGACTGAACTCGAGAACGCTCTCTTGTCTTCTCCAGACATCGCGGACGTGGGAGTTGTGGGTCATGGATCGGACACGAACGAGCATCCTGTTGCTTTCGTAGTCGGCGCGAACCCGCAAGTCACACCGGAGGAGATCAAATTGCGTCTGAGAAACCAGCTTGCTAGCTACAAGGTCTCAACGCTGGAGGTCAAGTTTGTTGAATCTTTGCCCAAGTCGATTACTGGCAAGATTCTAAGGACGGAGTTGAGGAAGTTGTGCTGTTAGGTTCTTGTTCGGAGGAATTTGTGACTGGAAAATTGTTTGGAATAGGGGCTTGTGACACGGGAGCATGGACATGACCTTCGGTGGCTTTTGTTTCACGGTACAATGAGTTTTTATAGATAGAGAAAGCAGTATGACATTGTCCTGCAGTACAGTGCCGTACTCCCACATTTGCTCTCAGTGCTGCGCCTACACGGAAACTGATTCTATTCGGGCATTGACGTCCCACTTGTCCATTACATCGCCTATCGTGGTCTAACCAGCATGTCCCTCATCATACGCCGCTACACCGGGCGCTCTGACCTTCTTCTGTGCTCTCTTGTTTGCCTTGCCATGCTTCTTGCTCAGTTTCAGATCTGCTGGATCGATGTTGTTCTCCAGCGCCGTCATCTCCTTCAACTTTCTCCCTGACATCTCTTTCCCTTGCTGCGAGTACTTGTAGTGGAAAGGCCTCACGACATTTCCGCTACCTTGCCCAGCTTTGAAGAACTCCTTGTCGAGGCCAGCACCCTTCTTGCCCATCACATGGGGCATAGATGACAGCTCACTCGCCTCGTCCATCAAAGATACGTCTTCGGTTCCGGCGATGGATGTGATATCCTGTGCTGCCAGTCGTGCTCGGCGCTTTTGAGGCAAATGCGCCAAGTCGTACAGCTCGCGATTGAAGTGCTTCGGGTCCATTTGTGGCTCCGGAGGTGGGTGGCAGAATAGTAGCTTGCCCTTTACATAGTCTTTCAATACTGTCCGCGCAGCGCGAGCCTCATCAGGCTGTCCGAGACCTTGTGTCCAGAACCCTCGAGCCCTCGCGAAAGATCGAAGAACTTCCTCGCCCGTCTGCAGTCCAGTTCCTCCTTCTTCCAGTGGTCTGGTTATAATCTTCATACCATATAGCGCCTCCAGGTAATGCTGAGGGATGCGCTGGGCCAACAATCCAGCAGGTCCTGTGTACTCTCGGAGTTGATCAATTGGCAGAACACCAGCGAGAACGAGCTCTGCTTTCGTAGTGGCAAAATTGGGGAACACGAGACCTGGACAATCACACAATATCACCTTGTCGGATAAGTGAAGAGTTTGAAAATGCTTCGTCTTTCCAGGGGTGGCAGAAACCGAAACTTTCTTCGCGCCAAGAAGGGCGTTGATTGTAGACGACTTTCCCACGTTCGGATATCCTACAAGTCCGATGGCCGTCTTTCGTGTCACAGCATCCTTGTCTTTCGGTGCTGCTGGCGAGTGCTGTAGGAAGAGTGCTTCGAGATCGTCTGTGGTCAAGATGCGGGTCTGTTCTTCAATGGACATCTGCTGTTGCGGCGGCTCCGGGATCGGATACGGTTCGTCCACACTTTCCTCATCTGACCATTCCTCCTCGTCGTCTTGTTGATCTTGCACCCTTATCTTCTGTGCTTGCTTTGCGAGCTCGTCGACATCGGCCTCGGGGTCAATCTCTTCTTCGACGTCGTCCTCATCTAGCTCATCTGAAGAGTCATCATCCTCTTCTTCAGCATCTGAGCTCTCGTCTCCTTCTGATCCAGCTCTGGCCTCGTTCATCTCCTTTGCCAATTCAGCCGAGAAGAAGCGGAAAGCAATCCCCTTGGCATGAAAGTACTCTGCCCATAATCTCCTCTGCTCAAGTGTCATCATATCTGCCTTGTTGATCAACAACAAGTTTCGTTTCTTTCCACCATCCAGCTCTTTCACATATTTTTCGAGATCCTCGCAGCGATACAGCAATGGGTTTCGCGCATCCACAATTTGAACGACCAAGTCTGATCGTTCCACAACGCGCCACAGCTGCCGCCACACTTCCAAATTTCGCTCGAAGGGTGTCATGAGTAAATCATCGACTTCTTGGACCTCGGCCAGTCCTCGCCTCCATTCCAGCAGGCTTTCCCTCTCGCGCGCGTCCAACTCCATTGCGGTGGTGTCCTTATCCCATTTCGGTCGTCGTGGAACTGTCAAGCGTGCCCGCTTGGCATTCTGCTTTCTCAGCACACCTCTCTCTTCCGCTGCACTCAGCAAGTATGGGTTCTTTTGATCAGTATGGATGATCTTGACATTGTTCAACTTCTCCGCCGTGAAATCCGTGCCAGCCAATTCTGCCGTGCTCAAGAACTCGTCGAGAGCGCCTTGCTCCGTGACCGAGCGCATCTTGACCCATTCAGCCTCCTTCCGCGAGTTGGTGACATATTCGACTCCATTCTGGTCCTTGCGCACAATACTGCCGTCATTCTTTTGCCGCGCACTGCCCTTGTGCATGTTGGTGTTCTTTCCTTTCCCGAAACGATCGTTCATGAGGCTGTTGCCGAGCCCGACGGCATTCTTGCTCTTTGCTAGGACCATGCTGGGCAATCGGAATCTGGTATGGTTGTGTGGAGGAGAGGAGGAGCAGAGAGAAGAAGCACCGCAGTTTACTTCTTCACATGATTTGATAAGCGACCCTGTGACGCATGGAGGGGCGCTTTTTGACGCGTCAACTTTGATGGGCGGTACGCCAAGCATTTGATTAACTTCTCAATTTTTTGGACAAAACTTCCCGAGATCAATCACCAAGACGACTTGCACGTGGAATCGCCCAAGATGCCTCGCCAGCGCCCCTTCTCCAAGCAGAATGCGATCAAACTCGACTTGGTCCATCGTGCCCAAAATGACCCGCTCATCCACGACGAAAATGCTCCATCCATGGTCCTCGTGGAGCGAGGTCAGTCACGGCGGCCTACGGAAGACGACTATGCATACTCCGCTGCAGGCTCCGTGTACTCGGGCGCTTCGTTCAAATCGTACAGATCGCAGAAGACGAAGCAGCGAGGGGAGTTGGAAAGCGAGTTTGGCGACAATGTGAGGAAGAACGAAGGAGAGGCAGCACAGCACGGAGTCTTCTACGACGATACCCAATACGACTATATGCAACATATGCGAGATCTGGGCGGAATGGGCAGTCAATGGGTTGAAGCGAAGCAGCCAGATGACAAGAAGAAGGGAAAGCAGAAGTTGGAGGACATGCTGGCAGACAGTCTGCACTTGGACGACGCGAGCAGTGTTGCGAGTAGCACTACGAGCAGCATTGCACGCAGTCTGTTCCCCGAGGAGATTCTTCCCAGCGAGTTTGTGACGAAGCGAACGTACCAAGATCAGCAGGATGTGCCGGACGACATAGCAGGCTTCCAGCCTGACATGGACCCACGATTGCGGGAAGTTCTGGAGGCCTTGGAGGATGAAGAGTATGTGGATGACGATGAGGACATCTTTGGCGAGCTCACAAGAGACGGGTATGAGGTGGAACGGGACGAGTGGGAGGGAGCAGTGGAGCAATCGTTTGACGACGATGGCTGGGAGAGTGACGATACCATCAAAGCGCCTGCCAGTCCGCGAGAAATGCCCCGCGAACTACGGCTGCCCGATGGGGTGGAGTTGGGAGATGGAGAAATCGCTCTGCCTCCTGAAGATCCGCAGGCCCAGCCCACAGCGGACCCGGCAGCTGGCGGTTGGGATTTCATGAAAGAGCATAAAGCTACCAAGAAGGTAGCGAAAGCTGAAGCACCAGAACCTTCCTTCAACAACGCCTCTCTGATCTCTTCCCTTGCTAGCGGCAGGCACAAGAAGAGGAAAGGCGCCATGACCAACCCAAGCACATACTCCATGTCCTCGTCAGCTCTCGTCCGGAAAGATGCCCTACGAACGCTCGATGAGCGCTTCGACAAGATGGAGAATGACTATAGTCTGGCTGAGTTCCCCGAGGATGAAGAAGATGCGTACAATGCCGACACGCAATCGATGGCATCGGGTATGTCCGGAATGACTGGTATGTCCTCTGCCTCTCGAGTAAGTAAGGCGTACAGCACGGCCTCTGGCATGAGTGGTGTAAGCGGGATTTCCAGCTACTCGCGTGCCAACGACGAAGAGGCGCCCAAGCTGGTGCGGTCCGACTTCGACGGCATGATGGACGACTTTCTCAGCTCGCACAACAAGGCCGGCAAGTATGGCCAGAGAGTGAGGAGAGGTGCGCCAAAAAATGGCATGGAGCAGCTCGACGAGATCCGGTCTGGTCTTGGTCCGGCAAGATTCGGCAGCAAGACGAAACCGAAGAGCCACGTTCCAGTAAAGATCGGTTGATGCGCTCCTGTCTCCTCCTTCTGCATCCACTTTTTGATTGGCATTTCCATAGATACCCAGGTAGCGTTATTGTAGGCCGCACATGGCAACGCATCATGAATTGAAGATCCTCGAATACAGTAGTTCGTGTCTTCCCATCCAAAGATCCATCGTCGGAACTGTGACCACCGCATCGTCGTGCTCCGTTTTCGAATAGCATTCAATGCAACTGCGAATGATGTCCTGTAGCTTCACACTCGCAAGTACTGCCTGGCTCTGATAAGGTCCCATAACACTTGCTCGAACAGCAGCTGACAAAACAGCTTTTGCATGATTGAGCAAGAAGAGATATGCGGTGTCATGCGCGCCGAGATTCAAGGCATTAGCGACTGCACCAAAGAGAGGCGCAAAGTGCGCTTGTAGTTGTAGTCCAAAGACATCTGGAGCATTGTCTTTCATCTGAGCAGCAAAGCTCATCACTTCCTTCGCTGCAAGACTATTCGGATCACAAGAAAGTGACAATGCTCTCTCCCAAATTCCCAGTATGGCCCGTCCCTGCGAGACCGAAGCCCGACGAGCTACTGTACAGGGCGTACTGGCGTCCATGTCATTGTCCAAGTCGGGGAGTCTCGAGGGGTCATGGTAGGCTGTGAGTACATAGGGCAGGGACGTTGAGGCAATATTGTGAAGAGATTGCTCAAGGAATGTGTCGAAGGCTGATAGCTTGACGGTCGTGGAAGACTTGGGGCCTGAGATATTATGATGTGCGAGGAAAGATTCTAGGCCGGAGCTGAAGGCAAAGGAGCCTAGTGGTAGAGCAGAGTCTGAGAGAAGCAGGAGACTGTGGAGAGATGGATTGATGGAGAGAGTTGAGGTCTTTGCGGCGAGATCTTGGTCCTCTGGGAATGACATGTTGATTCCGAGGGCTCAGGTGCTTTCAGCTATCTTTATCGTTCATTATTTTGGCGGTACTTGTCGATGTGTACGATGTCAACTAGTGAGCAGTCTCAAGTAAAGCGCAAATTAGCTGACAGTAGCCGCTACAGCCTGCCGTAGCAACGATATCGGCATGCCTTGCCAAGATCGATAGGCCAACGCCGATTCCCGGTTCGAGCCTCCCTCCGCCGCCCCTCCTCGTGTAGGCCACAGCATCATCGCTCACGGCCAACTCAGAGCTAAATGAGGCGGCTAGTAACATGCAGGTAAAGTAGCGACTGCTTCAACTTCCTTGTAATATCATAGCTTCGCAGCATTCGCATACCTACATTCATTTCCACCCATTTCTGTGCAATAACACGACAACATCACAATGCCAACCCAGTGGGAAGCAATCGCTCAGAGAGCTCGACAAAAAGTCGTAGACGATATACCAACAGAATGGAAGATCCCTCAGGACCAGTTGCCTGGCGATGATGTGACTGATGTTACTGGTATACCTGCCACGTGTGGCATTCTGGACCAGCAGGAATTGGCCATCACCGACTCACTGGCGACTGAGATTGTTGCAAAGATCGCACAAGGATCATGGAAAGCAGAGGACGTGACCAGAGCATTTTGTAAACGGGCGGCCATTGCTCATCAATTGGTAAGTTGTGAGAATGCATCAGATTGCTTCGGTAGCTGAGAAGACCAGACGAATTGCCTTACTGTCATCATGTTCAACGATGCTCTACAGCGCGCAAAAGAGCTCGATGCAGAGTACCAGAAGACTGGAAAGGTGACAGGACCTTTGCATGGATTGCCAGTCTCCATCAAGGACAATTTCAACATCAAAGGCTACCCATCCTCTGTCGGCTTTTGTAGCTGGGCTGAAGAGCCAATGCAACAGGATAGCACGATCATCACCACTCTGAAGTCCCTCGGCGCGGTTCCATATGTGAAGACCAATGTACCAACTGCCATGATGATTGCCGAAACTGTCAACAACTGCTACGATCGCACAGTAAACCCTCGAAATCGTAAGACTACATCAGGAGGTTCGAGCGGTGGAGAGTCTGCACTTTTGGCTATGAATGGGTCGGCTTTGGGTGTTGGAACAGACATAGGAGGATCATTGCGCATTCCTGCAGCTTGCACAGGCACTTTCACACTCAAGCCATCGTTAGGACGATTTCCGCATTTTGATGCGAGATCTGGTTTAGCTGGGCAAGAAGCCGTTGCAAGTGTGCATGGTCCCATGGCAAGAAGTTTGGCAGATCTTCGTCTGTACGCTGAGACTGTCGTTGGCACGCAGCCGTGGACGAAAGATCCAAAGTGCATTGAAATTCCTTGGAGACAAGTTGAAATCAAAGCGAAGCCAAAGATCGCAGTACTTTGGGATAACGGCTTGGTCAGACCGACGCCGCCAGTAACACGAGCGTTGAAGGAGGTTTCCGAGAAGCTCAAAGCGAAGGGCTACGAGGTCATTGACTGGACAGCTGAGGATCATCCCGAAGCAGTCGAGCTGCTGGGCAGATTCTTCGTTGCTGATGGCGGCAAGTCCGTAGAGAAAATCCTCGAAACAGTCGGAGAGCCCGTCAGACCTGAAATGGAACCCTACAAACAAGCACAAGAAATCGGAACGTACGACCTCTGGCAACTTCAGAAACAAAGAACAGCACTCGCAAAGCGTTATCTGGATCGATGGAATGCCGTTGGAGGATTGGATGCTATTCTTGGTCCCACGACACCGTACGCTTCGCCAAAGAATGGTCAGTTCAGACATGTTGGTTACACTGGCGTTTTCAATATTCTGGATTATAGTGCGGTGTCTTTCCCTACCGGTGTAACAGTGGACAAGTCCAAAGATCTGGCAGACACTAGTGTCCAGGCCCATAACGATATTGATGCTCAGACGCAGCGAGAGTACGATCCTGAGGTATCGCATGGCTTGCCAGTGAGCTTGCAATTGACTGGTCAGCGATTGCAGGAGGAGAAGATATTGGCCATTGCTGAGAAGGTCCTGAGTGACCTGCAGTCATAGTCTTGGACACTGCATGGCCGATAGGGCAGCAGGTGCAGTCGTCTCATAGCCTGAGATGGCGACCCAGGCAGATGGTCAGCCAGACAATTGCCAATTGCGTTGCGGATAAAGAAGAGACGCAAGTCTACAAAGAAAAAGGTGCCATACTTTCACTTCATGAGTACACCATCTAACCTACCTTCACATCCCCACTTTGAGTCCTGTGGCACTGCTACTGCAGCAGGAGTGTTGCAGCTACTACATTACAGTCCAGAGACGACTCGCGTATCCTCAAAACGGCACATTCTGGCAGCCGATTGGAGATACTGGTGACCACCAAAAATATGATTTCACCTCAAAAATGATGTTTGGACACTGTTTCGATGCATTAACAGGGAATCGAACCCTGCCCTGCTGCTTGGAAGGCAGCAATCCTAACCACTAGACCATTAATGCCGAACTTGCTTTAAGGATGTGAGAGAAAATGCAAATATGTACCTAAATAGATTTTAAGAGTGAGCGATAGTAGCACTCTCCACAGTTATCCAGCAGGCTAGGATACAATTAAAGCAATCAGTCCACTCTATAAACTATCTCTTCAGCCGTCCGGATGCTGAAAACGAATGAAACAGCCAGAGATTACCAGCATTTCTGTCTTGGCATGTAGTCGAACACCCCAGCTCCAATCCCAGCAACCAACATGTCTTGAAGCAGCAGAGTACAACAACAGAGACTCAGATAGAAACTAAGACTCAGAAGTGCGAAACTTTGAGGAATCGTCAAGTACGTGGTCCAATTTTCCAAGGTTACTCCTGATCGGACAACTTTAAGTATGTGCCGGATCCTCCTCACAATTTGCCTAATGTTTGACACATTTAGCGAATCTAAGGGAGCGGCCAATCACGAGTATTACTAGTAGGCGTTCTACAAGGACACAGACATGAACTCCATGCACTTGGCCTAGGGGAGACTACATGATTCAGATCACGTTTTCCTTCGCCTTAAAAACTTGGAAGACATTTCAAAAATTACAGACTTTCATCGTCGTGCATTCATTAGTACAAGTGCCACAGAGATGCTACTCTATCGAATCTGGCTAACTTTTGCAACTGCCAGAAAGTTGACCGCAAGGCGTGTCTTCAGGCGAGAAATGTCACTATAGTCCGTGTGCGTTCGTAGTCATGTTTGACGGTTGTTCAAATCCACAAAGGGTCAATGCCATCGTGTGTACAATTTGAAGTCCCTCATGAGAGCCAATGACGCCCAGTCCGTGCGAAATAAAGTCTGTTTCTCACTGGTCTCATCGTATGAGTCTTATATGCTTTCGCCAGTGTCCTATCCAAGCTTTGGGATCATATCGAGAACTCCACCCATTACACATCCAGCACCACCTGAGAGCCTAAGGACAAGTATCACCCTGCAACACCGAAAACTGCGTCGAATACTGAAACTGTCCATCCTGATCCACAATAATCAACATGCCGTAGCCCGAATCCGTATTCTTCTCTCCAGCAGGTAAATCGCAAGGCACATTCCACGTCCACTTGTTGTCTGTTGCCTTGACGCCTTCCACGATAGCTGTTGTGTCCGGATTACAAGTGTTAGAGTTTCCGCGACAGAGAACCAAGCTCACGGTCTGTCCAGAAGCATCATAGTTTGGATCAGAGTACTTTGGGTTCCAGGTGATGTCAAAAGGTTGCCCTCGCGTGACGGGTAGGTCGCCATTTGGGGTCAGAAGTGCGCCCCATGTTGGCTTGTCTTGGGGTTTGTGGTATGCGTTTGCTAGAGTGGCGATGCCGCTGACTAGGAGTGTTGAGGCGCGCATGTTGACTTGATTTGTGGTCTGATGGGAGAGAGGCCTGTGGTTTGTGATTGTTTGGTGGCGTTGAAGGGCTTAAAGCGTCAGAACAACGTTAAGTAGGCACTTAAATAGGAACTCTCCTGGACTACAAGCTTTCCAGACAAGTCAATGCCTCCCCGGTCAGCGTTCCATGTATTGGCTTTCCCCTGGACGCGGGAGATATGCGGGCCTAGAATTACGAGCGCCAATATTAGTATTGCAAGGTATACGCTGCTGTTCTGAAACTCTGCTTGGATCGTTTAGCAGTTGACACATTCCTGCAGTGGCAATCGTGTGTTCATAGCATTTTGTAGTCTGATGCCCTTAAACGTATAGTGCTCCCTGTCCCTGGCTTCACGCGAGACTGCGACTAGAATTAGCGTCAGGTACAATATTGGCTACGCTACACTAAGGAAATCCCAACTGTTCTGTAGAGCGTAGCGGATGTCCTACGTTTCTGCTTACGTTGCGCGGATACCTCACACCACGAAGTCGGTGTGCATGATCATCGCAGGCAGCATAAGGGCGGACAGCATGCGGAGTGTTCTACTCGCAAGTTTTTCAGAATCAGCAAAGAAGGATCCGCAACGACTGAATGTCGTCTCGTTTGAGATTTTGAATTCTGGAACCTTTGCACAAGAGTAGTCCATCGCGTCTTGACCAAGTATTCCGGACCAACTTCGCGGCTCAATCTGCTTCATATGCTCGGCCGCTCGTTGTACTTCCAATGGCCAGGTGAGTTAGTAGGAAGCTTTCGCGTAGGACAGCTACAGCGCGTACGCAATACGGGCTTTCATGAGCCAGGCACTTCGATGTTCTGCCGTTCTACGAGCCTAGTGCTCCATCCCCGCCTCACTTTGACAATGGTCGAGAGACCAAACATCAGATTGGTAGTAGCCAAGCCAGTAGCATATTCTGCGCTGGCCATGTTGGCTGGCCCAACCTGCCCAACTCGTTCTCACACACAGTCCGCCATTTCCGGACTTCAACTACCCAGACTATACTGGTGTAGGCGCGGCTGCCGTAGCTTCCACAAGAGCATCCACCGACGCCGTGCTGACATCCCCACTGGGGTCAGCAGTAGTGACAGCCGGGATTGTTGCATTCGTTTTTCGTTTCTTCCCGTAGAAGTTGCCTCGTGCATCGACACCACCTGCTAGAGGAATCACCCTCCTTGCCGTGAGTACGTAGCCTTCCGCTCCGCCTCGGCTTGTCATGAGAGGATGCGTCCGGCCAGGTAATACCTGCCAATCTCGCACACGACTGGTCTGTATTGATGGAGCAAGGAGGAGGCGTGGGTCTACTGGAAAGTCGTCTGCGTCTGGCAGCTCATCCCTAGCGAGATGCGCAATGTATGCTGCTCGTCGCTCTTTGGAGTAGAGATCGATGACCTGCACGAGAGGCTCGATGGTCGGGCTGTACATGACTAGATGTCCGCCGCCACGTATTAGTGGCACACCATGCTCAAGAATGCTGACTGGGTCCATCGGTGATGCTACCACAAGCCCGTCGAACTCTCCTTGTCTGGCCTCGTCCACGATTGACTTGCACCGCTCCCATCGCCGACGCTTCTTGAAATATGTCCCTCGTTTGCCACTTTTCCAAGACGCGAGCACTTCTTCTGATTGGCGTTCTGGCTCAGTATACAAAGGATCTTCTTCAGGCTGCAATAGCTGTAGCCAGGACAATGATTTGAAGTGGGTATGCAAAGGGTGTTCAGCTTGATCGGGAGAGCCTGTGGGATTGCTCGTGTCGTAACCGAAATATTTGAGGATCGAGACATTAGGCTGAACAGCAGGATGCACCAACGTTATGGAATTCGACGATGCAGGCGCAGGATAGTCGCGATGTACAGTTTGACTCTTAGTCGGTGCTGATGCGTCGGTTGACTTGTCTGCATTGCCATTCACAGACAGTGTGTGCTCCTCGGTCTCTTTCGCTGCTTCCTTCGATTGTGGTGGATAAAGAATGCCCATTCGTTCTGCCAAAGCAGCCACAATCAGACCTCCAGTGTCTTCAGCGACGAGCCATCGTCCGTACGCTGTGCCATTGTCTTTCTGGTCCGGAAGCCCATCGGTTCTGCTATAGTGCGCGTGACTCCAAGCAGTGATCAAGCCTAGCGCTTCTTCGCGCATGTCCATGATCCGAGGCGGTTCCTTGTCCGTGATGTAGTCGATCAAATTCCCAAGGTCCATTGGCAGCACCGTGAACCTCTTCAGGTACTTCTTGTTCTTGCGCAGCATGTATTTCGCTTTCGAGAAGACTGTCTTCTCATCCAGCCCAGTGTGGCTGGCCAGAATCTTCTCAATGACCTCCTTTGCACCCGCCGACTTCTTCAGCTCCTCGATCTCAGCATGTGTGAGCGTCTGTCGTGTCGCATCGTCGACCGTCAATCGGTTGTTTTTCATCAGTATTGACCCATCTTCACCGAGCAGCTCGTAGCCATCTGGTAGGCTCGTTGTCCCATTGGGCGTTCCTGGCTCTGCTCTTGACTCCGAAGGTGAAGGCTCGTCCAAGCCCGCTTCAGCATTCAAGTCTGCCTGCGGCACAATTCTCAATCTGGAATACGCCTCCCCATCTCTTTTCTCGAGAATCTCGTATGTGTGGTGGTATGGGCGACCGAGTAGTAAATTTGAGGGAAAAGAGCCTAGTTTGCCAACCTCGATGATCCTGCGCCATTCTCAGTATCGTGTATGGCGGACAGGAGTCGTCGAATCGTTGGACGTGGCTCGAAAGCGCGAGAAGAAATGACCTACGTGTTAAGCTTGATCTCGACCAGTTTCAGCATCTCACTAGGCAGTCGCAAGAAGAGATACGTGTTGGGTCGAATGCTCGAGTGCATGGACGCCATGTTGGCGACTGTGTTGCAGGATACTGCAATGTGGATGACACGACGTTCGTGGGGACAGTCGAAATGCGATCCTGGCAGAGCAGGAAGTCAAACTTTCTTGAGAGCTTCTGCCGGCTTGTCCGATTCCGCACTCACGACCTCCTTCCGCCTTCGTACTTTACCACACCTCATCATTCTTGATGTTCTCAGTACTGCGGCCATCTTGCAGAATTGCAAGATACCGTCTCCGAGTTCCTGAAGGATTGCGACAAGGTGAGCGTCGCGCTGACGCGAGATGTTTTTGGTCGACAAGCAGCGACGCGGAGGAGAAGCTGCCCAAAAAGGTCATATTCTCTGGAATTCAGCCCACAGGCGTGCCGCACCTGGGCAACTACCTGGGAGCTCTTCGACAATGGGTCAGACTACAGGATGAAGCAGAGGAGTCGACAAAATGTATATACTCGCTCGTCGACCTCCATGCCATCACAATTCGGCAAGATCCAGCGCAGCTCCGACAGTGGAAGAAGGAGTCGCTGGCCATGCTGCTGGCCATTGGGCTTGACCCCGAGCGCAGCATCATCTTTCATCAAAGCAGCGTCCCAGCGCACTCAGAACTGATGTGGATCCTCTCGTGTCAGGCTTCGACAGGTTATCTGAGTCGCATGACACAGTGGAAAGACAAGACTTCCAATGAGAAAGATGGAAACGAACGATTGAAGCTCGGCTTGTTTTCCTACCCAGTCCTTCAAGCTGCTGACGTGCTAGTGCATGGTACGACACATGTGCCTGTAGGTCACGATCAAGCACAGCATCTGGAGTTTGCCCGTGAAGTGGCCAATGGCTTCAACCATCAGTACGGCTCCAGCATTCTCACGCCGCCGGAGACTCTCATTAGTCCCGCCAAAAGAGTCATGTCGTTGAGCGACCCAGCATCAAAAATGTCAAAGTCACATCCGAATCCAAAGTCAAGAATCTTGCTCACGGATTCTGAGGAAGCCATCAAGCAAAAGCTAAAGTCGGCCGTGACTGATTCATTATCAGGAATAAGCTATAATCCTCAAGTTAGACCTGGAGTGAGCAACCTCATAGACTTGATTTACTACTCCTCTGGATACGACACGACATCAGCTGGCAGTCAGGAGGACTTGGCTAAGGAGATGGAGAATCTGAGCTTGCGAATCGTCAAAGATCGCGCTGCCGAAGCCGTGAACAGCCTGATCAAGCCGATCCGCGAACGATACGCGGACATCATGGAAAACGATGACCTTGACGCGATTGCAGAAGCTGGCGCCCTAGAAGCTGCCAATAATGCTGAACCCACAATGATAGCTGTGCGAAGAGCTGTTGGTCTTTCTTGACCAGACATTCGACGCAGGATCATTCGTGTCCTTCATAACGCGGGATTTTGGCCTAGATTATGCCCTTGCCACCTTGTATCCATACAACACTTTCCCGATGAACGCACATATCCACATGAAGCAAGCATTCACGAAGCATCCGATCCAGTCTCCCAGAATCCGAGGCACAGGAACAACAGCAGGAGGCATCCACGCATCGCTGAGAAATATGCACAGCTGCAAAACACTCGGCTCGATGCTCTGTACTCGGCAATCATCCAGATACGTCAGCGTGTTTGCGAAGAATCGTCTCTCCATCTCATACATCTGTGCGTCAAATTTGTAAAGCACGACGAGTGGTTTCGTGCTTCCAGGCGCATTGGCAAACGTGTGAGCAGTGAAGCGCGGGATTGTGATGTTTTGGCCTGCGGTCAGAGGAATTTCCTTGCCATAGGCGTACCAGATACCGCTGCCAGACTCGACATAAAAGGTCTCAGTTTGCAAGAGATGGTAGTGCGATAACGGTGCCATGAAAGATCGTGTACCATTTGACCATTTGTTATCTGGTGGAAGAGTCTGTCGGCCGAGATATGCTTGTCCTGGGGCGAAGATTTCGCTAGCTGGCTGGTTATCGTAAAGTATGGGATTCTGACCATTGACAACGGTGCGCTTGACCTTGACTGGTGTGAGAAGAGGCATGATTGGCCCTAACTTCGCATTGTGAAGGACATAGGAAATGGCATCGGATTCGCGTGTCCATCTGCTTCTCAGCGCCGTGGCTCGATCTGGAAGGTGGTGGCAGTTCCGCAAGAGCAAGCCTCGGCAAGCGCCTGAGGCAGCATTTGGGCACAAGATACGGGCCAGCCACATCAGGATTCGTGCTGATGAACATCAGGAGCAACTATCTGAGGTAGCATCGGAAGGCAGTCTGGGAGCCATAGTCTCTGGATGGAACTCAGCGAATTCCACAACCACAGCAGACGATTGCGGAGCTGAATGAAGCCGCTAGGACAACTACTACGCCAACACTGCAGAGGCCAGCACGATTATAGCCGTCGAAGACCGAAGCAGAGACTTCTGACGCAGCGTGTATGCAGCGGAAACAAGAGCTAGTGGGACCACTGGCACTCAACAGTAAAGAACAGGCTCCGTGCGGACGTCGATGCGATCGAGGATCGGTAAAATGCCGTTCTTGTATCTTTTCGCCCGAATTGAAGGACGAGCTGCCAAAACGATCAAGATGTATGAGGAATGAGGCATAGTCTATCCACGGTGCTCCAGTCTTACAAACTCCTGAACAGACTCTAATATTCCGTGAACCTCTACATATACTTCTATCCAACCACATTCACAGCACCATAAGAACATGCTGCGGTAGCCATTCACTCCTGACAAGGGGGAGTTGGCAGATTACAACCTGCATCAAAACTTTTCGCCCCCGGCGGCAATGCCATGCAACCCTCTTGCGAAATTGAATGCCCAGCTAAGTAGTCTTTGCAGTTCCTGTCCGTATAAAACCTGACTGCACACCTGCCGTCGGATTTGGATTTGTATACACTGCCCACAGTGCCCTTAGCTGCGTCAAGATTCCAGCATGCGAAATTTGGCTGGTCGTTGAAGCCGTTCCATCTTCTCTCGGTGTGTGGAGTGTTGGGGTTGCAGTTCTTGTCGTTATTGAAGTAGACGTAAGCTACGCCTGCAGCGCCGGGACACTGGTCGTCGGCCAGAAGTGTTGTAGGGAAGGCCAAGAGGGTAGTGAGGGTAAGAACGAGCTGGAAATTGACCATTTTGATGAAGTTGCAGGATCTTTCCGGGCGTGTGATATGGCTCGAGAGGAAGAATTGGTTAACCGTGTATGACTCTCACGTATTGGAAGGGCGGGCGATATGTCTTCGACTCGAATGACTCTTGATGCGAAAATCTGCGCCGCAGCATTTATACAAAGTCTATCCCTCGGGTTGCCCGTATCTGCTCAACGATGTTGGCAGGGCCCAGACCAACGGGCACATCTCGCTGTTTCTGCGTAGTGATTTGTTTGATCCTCCCGACGAACTGGGCCGACGTAGTAGCGTGCCAGTGTATCTCACCATTACCGCTCCTCGGCGGTCGTTGGCAAGGAAAAACAGCGTGTTTGCCACTGCCTGTAAGGGGTTTCATATGTACACGTGTCGTACGAACAGCGGGCTTGTTTATCTAGGCTCTGCTAGTGTGAGACATCGTCAACGCTATTACATCCAGCTAGTATTCATTGAGATCAGCTAGGTGCAGTACAATCCGATTTGCGTTCAACGCAAGGCAGATACAGCACAGCGCCACTTGCATGTCATGCTGGCTGCCAAGCCGGTGTTGCTGACAAGTTGCAGTATAGCTTGCTACAATGACTAATGAGACGCCAGTCAGTACCATGAACATTATGACCGTCAGCAGCCTGTCTATAGCATCATATGAGGCCCTTTGATATCTGTTGTATGCGATTTCCATTTGATTGTCAATCTTATGCATCCTGACTGGCTACTTGCTTGACAGTGCGCTCTCACATCGGGATCTTGGAAAGCTTTTGACAGCCGACATATGTCAGCTTACTGGTGCTTTGAAGCACATACCTCTTCTCCCTAGGGACGACGAAGACTTTCTTGACTGGCTTCAATCGTGTGCTAAGCCTGTTGAGTCGCCCCTGTACAGGTGATCACTTGAATTCGGAGATGGGACAGCAGGCTATATCTCGCTTTGTGAGCATTTGCAAGCTTTTCGGCAGCCGAATCAAGGCAGCTTATCATTGGCAGCGGAGCCACGAAGGGCCTTGAGTTTGAATTGATTGAATCCGTGTATGCAGGCGACAGCTTGTGAAGCGCACCGCTGCACTGTGAAGCGGTCACTTCTCTTCTTGGCAGGTCTACCCGTCGATTGACCACTTGGAGGCGCTGTAGCGGCACTGTAGCGGTCGACTTTGTCGCTGCTGAAAAGATCTACCAGCAGGAGAGCCACGGAAGGGCGAGCTGAAATTCTTTGAATTCGTATATGCAGGTGAAAGATGCCGGAGAAGAAGTGTAGCATCGAACCCTAATCATCCTGCTGCGAGTGAGCGGTACCTCGTCAAGGCAGTGCATTACGGGAGGAGCAGACAGCCCAAGGGACCGACTGGTAGCACGCTGTAAAGCCATCTGCGAGTCTTCGATTGACAAACTCCATGCTTGAAGGCCATAAACAGCGCGGAGTGTTCGAGAATCCCTGACGCGTAGGCTTCGCGGCGGCAAAATGAAGGATTCAACCTCATCGTTGACGCTGGCAGAAGGGAATGAAGAGGCGGTGGTGGGCGTGAAGACATTTGCGCCTGAGGCAAGAGTGTCTCTGATTTGGCTTGGCAAAGTGGTCAATGCTCCTCGAGATAATTTTCCCCAGAGACTTCCGAGCAGCTTCAAGCTTCAAGTTGCACATTGCGCTCAAAATCGGCTATAACCAGAATCACCTATCGCATTGCTCCCGCTTTACGGTAGGCACCACTGGTACAAGCCGGACATTTTCAAGAGAAGGAGACAGTCGCGAACATGTCGTTGGTGAAGGTGAAGAAGGTGGAAGAGGAGGACGAGCAGATCATCAAGCCAGAGGCTGTCGCGCCAAATCTCAACGCCTCAGACTGGCCTCTGCTGCTCAAGAACTGGGATCAACGTAAGTTTCTCACGAACTCAATGCGGCGATTGGCACGCGACAGACTTGCGATTCGCTTCTTGAGGTGGTGCATGCAAATATTGACCTAAACTTTTAGTCCTCGTCCGAACTGGCCACTTCACACCCATTCCGAACGGCTGCGCACCTCTCAAGCGCGACCTCAAATCGTACATCTCATCCGGTGTCATCAACCTCGATAAGCCCTCGAACCCATCCTCGCACGAAGTCGTAGCATGGCTCAAGCGCATGCTGCGCGTTGACCGCACTGGTCACTCTGGTACCCTCGATCCAAAGGTCACAGGATGCCTCATCGTCTGTATCGATCGCGCCACGAGGCTTGTGAAGAGTCAGCAGGGTGCTGGTAAGGAGTATGTGGCAGTGCTGAGACTGCACGACAAGCTGCCAGGAGGCGAGGCACAGCTTGCGCGCGCGTTGGAGACGTTGACTGGTGCGCTCTTCCAGCGTCCACCGCTCATCTCTGCCGTCAAGCGTCAGTTGCGTATCCGAACAATCCACGAGAGCAAGCTGCTTGAGTTCGACAATGATCGTCAGCTTGCTGTATTCTGGGTTTCCTGCGAGGCCGGAACCTACATCCGAACACTCTGTGTGCATCTCGGTCTCCTCCTCGGAGTGGGTGGCCACATGCAAGAGCTGCGTCGTGTGAGATCAGGAGCCATGAAGGAGGATGACACTATGGTCACCCTTCACGACTGTCTGGACGCACAATGGCTCTACGACAACCAGCGCGACGAGTCGTACCTTCGCAGAGTCATCAAGCCACTCGAGACGCTTCTCACTACCTACAAGCGTATCGTGGTCAAGGACAGCGCCGTCAATGCTGTTTGCTACGGTGCGAAGTTGATGATTCCTGGTCTCCTTAGATATGAGGCCGGTATCGAGGTCTACGAGGAAGTCGTTCTCATGACGACAAAGGGCGAGGCTATTGCACTCGCCATTGCACAGATGAGCACCGTCGAGCTTTCATCATGCGATCACGGTGTCGTTGCCAAGGTCAAACGCTGCATCATGGAGCGTGATCTCTACCCTAGAAGATGGGGCATGGGTCCAGTTGCAACCGAGAAGAAGAAGCTGAAGGAGAGTGGCAAGCTCGACAAGTATGGACGTACTAACGAGCAGACTCCAGCTCAATGGAAGCAAGAATACAAGGACTTCAACGAGCAGAACGCCGTGAATGGCACCTCGGGTACCACAGAACAACAGGCTGCAGAAGGCGCTCCAGCAAAGGAGGGCATCACTGGCAAGGTCAAGGAGCTTCCTTCGAAACAGGACATTGAGATGGCTGACGCTGTCAACCCTGCCACCGGAAAGGACGAAGACGAGGAGAAGGCCGAGAAGAAGGCCAAGAAGGAGAAGAAGCGAAAACACGAGGGCGAGACACCAGAAGAGAAGGCCGCCCGCAAAGCAAAGAAGGCAGCCAAGAAGGAGAAGCGAAAGTCGACGGCGACTGCCGGTAGCGACGACAGCGACTGATCGGTTTCTCTCGTTTCTGCTACTTGGACTGTGTGCTAGAGTCATCGATCATGACTGTTCCATGGCTCTGCGGCATGTATTGGTTTTCTGCTTTCGAAATGCATATTGGCGACTGGGAGGGCAATGTCGGACATGACTCTGTATAGTACGCTATGAATGCTAGGCGCATGAGCGTTGGGAGGCGTACCTGGCGCTCTATGGAGTTGATAGCGAGCACGTCGACATGAAAGTCGATGCAAATGAGACAATTAACAACGTTACCAAATCGTCCACTTCATCATTCGTGAAGGGTAGGAGCTCATATGTACCGTGCATTGTGCGTCGGGCATTGGCCCGCAGACGTCATCTCGTGCCCGCGCGGATCATTTTGTGCTTCTTCACATCTTCTAAACCTGCATCATGCTTCGAGTACAACCTTGCCTACCAATCCGGCGGCGCTGGTAGCTGCACATCATGTCCAAGGCCAAGTCACAGGCCTACCAACGTAATGCAAAGCGTGTTAGTGTCAGGGAAGAGACAAAAGCACTAATGACCATACAGAAGCACAACAGTCTCAATACTACGCCTATCCACCTCCTTCGTCCGGCTCCTTCTTCTGGGGCTTTCTCCTCGGACAACTCACTCTCGCCCTCATCCTCTTCATCTTCATCAAGTTCTTCATTTTCGGCGACGCGCCCTCCGCAGACGAAAGAGCTAGTGCACGCGCCGCAGCCCGCCGCAATCGAACGCTCTCCTTCTCCCGGGCACGCGCCCTGTCCACCTCGACAGCCCTACGACCACGTCCTTCGGCTCCTGCAATCCTCAAACCTCGGCCCGATGGAGGACTGACTGTGCAGAAGATTCTGGAGAAGACGTACTACAATGTTCGAGGCCATCAACCCGAGAGTCTGGACTGGTTCAATGTGCTGATTGCACAGACTATCGCACAGCTCCGAGCTGATGCGCAGGAAGATGAGGCAGTGCTGGGTAGTCTGACACAATTGCTCAATGGGACGAGTAAGCCAGATTTCATCGATGATATTCGGGTTACGGAGATCAGCTTGGGAGACGAGTTTCCCATTTTCAGCAATTGTCGGGTCATACCTGTGGATGAGAACGGCAGTCCCTTGAAAGAGCTTACTGGACAACGGGGAGAGAGATTACAGGCGAGGATGGATGTGGACTTGAGCGATGTGGTCACGTTGGGCATTGAGACCAAGTTGGTGCTCAACTACCCCAAGCCGTTCGTGATGGTATTACCTGTGGCGTTATCTGTGAGCGTGGTCAGGTTTAGCGGGACCTTGAGTCTCAGCTTCAGTCCCAGCAATCAGCCTGGACCATTTGAGCAAACAACGAAAGAAGGTGGTGTTGGCTTGGAAACGCCAGGCGGACGAGCGGAGTCGAATGAAGGACATCCTTTGAACCCGACAGGTCGAAGCCCGACGACTTTGACTTTCACTTTCCTGGACGACTACAGACTGGACCTGAGCGTACATTCGCTGATTGGCAGCAGAAGTCGGTTGCAGGATGTGCCAAAGATTGCGCAGTTAGTGGAGGCCAGGATACATCAGTGGTTTGATGACAGATGTGTCGAGCCTCGTTTTCAGCAGATTGTGCTGCCTAGTCTGTGGCCAAGGAAGAAGAATACCAGAGGTGGCGAGGAAGAATCCGCCGTCGATGACACGGCCACTGCGCAGAATGATGGGAGCAGTGATCTGAGACCGCCCAAGACAAGGACGTCTGATGGTGCAACAAAAACTTCTCCTGAGACACCGGTCGCAAAACCACCCAGCGGGCCTCAGACGACTGCCGAGCAGAGGACACGAGACTGGGCAGCACAGCAGGTGAAAGATGTCGCGGACAATAGCAGACCGAGCACGTCAAGTGGCAAACGCAAAGACAACAGAAAAGAGGAGTTGAGTGAGATCGAGTTGGCTGGACTGGAGATGCGAGAGGCTGATGAACGGGACCGCAGGAAACAGCAGAGGCTGAAGGCTGAGAACGAGCGAAGTCATGAGAATCTGCGAATGAGGACTATTCGAGAGGTCTCGCACGATGGCGTGAAAGCGAAATCATGAGTTTGCGGCGTAAGGCTGGTCTTGGTGTCGCTTAGCAAGGCGTTGGTGGGAAAGCATTCAGCATCATGAGGATCTGCCGCGCTCGGAAGCATACGGCGTAGACAGCGAAAGCGCCGACTAAAAATCCTTTCGCGAGGCTCTCAATTCTGGCTGCAAGACATGGTCTATTCGCGAAGTTAGCGTGAGCGTCAGTGAAGACAACCTGGACGAAAAGCTCTATTCGAGAGTGTTTCGGATGCTCTGTTCTATATAATGAACTGGATCCCACGAAGAAAGTGTCTCAACACTCGCACACCGTGCCTGAAACCAACCGAAATGAAACGACCGTGGGTAAAATACTTGAAGCCTCTATCGGCTGTTCTTCTCAAGCTGCCCTCCTTCATACACCAAACACAACACCAAATCATCATATCTGACACCGTCACGAGACCTGTAGTGAACTGGACCACCATCTCCAGGGAAAGTGAAGTGTCAACACCTGAGAGTGAATGTTCATCTCTCAGAGCTCTTTCCGCGATACTTCAGTGCTTTGCTCTCCTCCTTACTGGTGATCACTCGAAGCAAACAGAAGGCATCGAGAGCACCATGGAGTATACGACACTGCCCAACTGGGCAACATCATGCATCATCGGCGACTGGTTCAACACGATCGACTCACCTTGGCTCAACGGCAGCATTTACTTCGAGGACGTACATTTCGGCGACTTTGTCCTCGTCGCGATCCTGGCTACTTTTCTATGGACGTTCCACTGTTCGATGCAAGCGTTCGCAACCAATGTTGCACCTGGACGACCAGGGACTCCATTTCGGGTGTGCTTCTGGGAGCATCTCCAATCGGGAAAATTCTGGCTACCAGCCTCGGTCGTGATGATGTGGTACCTTTGCATTCCCAAGAGAGAAGGAGACGCCGTATGCGCTTTTGGCTGGCTCTGGTGGTCTTTGGTCATACTCGGGGCAGCGATATTGACTTGGTGGGCTACTTGGTACCTTGCCTGGAATATCTACGGAGTTTGGCAGTACTGTCATGCGGAAGGACGCAAATCGGGGACCATTCCCAAACCGGCACTCTAGTGTATCGCCCATTCGAACAAGACTATCTGGAGCTGGTTCGAGAGGCCAGCCCTACTCTCTCGCCTCGCCAACGCCTTTTCTCTTGCATAGACGAGCTTTGAGGAAGGATAAGCCTGAACCCAAAATGTGAACTCGTCGGCAGCATGTTCCCTTGGCATCCCTCTCGACGGAAGCAGGCAATTGTGCATCAGCCTCAACAATCTGCGGCTCGATAGCGCTGGGCTCAGCTCGTGGCATCTTCACCATCGCCATCTCTGGCAGCTCTTGATCAAGATACCTCTTGTAAATGCCAGACCCGAGTTCTCTCCTGGAATAGTCCTTCGATAGAGGAAGCATAAACTTCTTCAAATGCGGATCCAGCGTCGGCGACCCTGCAATAATCGTAGGATGCTTGTCAATCATTCGAATGGTGAATGTGTTCTTCAGACAGAGCGTCATCATGTCTTCGTAATCTCTTCGCTTTCGACTATAGTCCTCTTCTTTGGACTGCAACACGTCGCTGAGTGTTTCCTTGAACTTCGGCTCGATCTCGGTGACAAAGCAGTTGAGCTCTTCGCTCATGTGGAACAGCATCGCAGCGATCCTGTCGAGCTGAGCATTTCCGAGCCCTTTCTTCAGCATGTAGTCTGCCCGAGCAAGGCAGCGTTCGTGCTTGTAGATGTGGACGATTCTCGGATTCAATCGCTCCATGTATTGATCCAGTGGTATGATCGGACTGCTCAGACCGATCTGTGCTCCGGAGAGGTCGATGATGTACGAATTCCCGTCTGTTGCGTCGATCGCGAGCACTTCGTGAAGAACGCTGACGGGGAGGCTCCTATCGACGACTTTGTAGCTCCCCTTGGGAAGCCACAAGTACACGCATTCAATGCTGGTGGTGATATCTGGATCAAGACGTCAGCTCGAGTCAACGTAACAATCTCAAAAGCATCACTTACCACCGAGCATGCTTTTGACAAGCTGATACGACATTTGCGTCGCATCGTTGCAGCCCATATAGCTCAATATGACCTTTTGCTGCTGCTCATCGCCTGCTATCTCCCTCGGAAACATGGTAAAGGGGCCTGGGTACACAGCAATCTTCTTCTCCTTCCGTACACTCTTCGAGAAACGAGAAATGTAGAGCGTGCCATCGATGTTTTCGACTTGATCGAATGCTCGATGCCACGAAGCTCGCCTCCAGGCGTAGAAGACTGGTTGCAATATGCTTCCTGCACGGTAGAGGCGTTTTCGAATGTTACGTGCGAGGCATTGGCTGGGGTGAGTGTAGTCGCACACGAGACACTGGTGACTGCAGTAGGTTATGGTCGATTGGGTGCCGTCAACTTCGCGGCCTTCTTTGCACTGTTGGCAGGTGATGAATCGTGCTGCGGGAACGGAGGCACCACATGTGGTACAAGTCTTCGAATGGTCTACCATGATGTGGAGTGACAGTGAGGCAAGGTATGTGATGGTCGAGTCGGGTTCTGTCTGGAAAGGTCCTGAGTTCAGCTAAGGTGGAAGATGGAAGTAGACCGTGTTGAAGACGTCTTTCATGTGATACATATGCGGCATGTGAATGTTTCCGCACGATATTGTCAGTCTCTGGGTCTCGATGTTGGGCTCATTCACTCAAGATTGGAGTGAGCTAGCACATGCGTGACAAGTGAGCAAAGGTTTGCCGCTGACGCATCGCAGCTCTACTTTAGGATGATTTTGGACTGCCCATTGTGATACGTCAAATGTGCTGTGCCAGAGTTCAGCTCCAAAAAATCACTAGGAAGTATAAGATTGCCATACTGCAAGCTTTTATTTGCGAAGTTGCTCGACTCCTATGAAACTTCGTTGCGACTCCTCTCTTCTCCATTTTGTAAGCAAACGTATTTCTGCACTTTGCTGTAGAACCCGCGATCTTTGGGGACAGTGGCAGAGCTCAGTAAGCTCGTTGGACTCCAACCATCAGTGGGTAACCGCAGATGTCAGCCAGCGACAGTGTCCGGCTAGGAAGCATGTACTCAGAGCAACGGATCGTGGCGGCTCATGTATACCCAAACCGTTGATCTTCATGCTTGTCTCCTCCATTCGATCCGACTTACAGACCTTTAGCGATGAGTTCGTCCTTTCACCCCGAATGTCCGCAGTATTCTTCCAGGAAAGCACTTGCAGCTTCAATCATCGCCTCCTCGTCGGGCTCTGAGCCTTCGTGAAGATGGACGATGATGCCGCCGCCATTCTTCAGCTCTGGCTCGTGGTTAGCCCACCAGACCGGTCCGCGCTGTGTCTGGATTCGGGCTCTGTGCTGTGCTATCCACAGCTGATACATTGTGGAACCCTCCACATTGTTCGTAACAAGGACAGTGGAAGGCCTGGGGATCAGCGGGACCGGGTCGAGCATCTGTATCAGTTGTCCAACGTCCACCACCTCAGTGAAATGCTCGAGGATTTTCGCGCCCTTCACGATGGAGTCGTACGCAACACTGAAGAAGTCTTTGGCGAGCTTGTCAAAACGAGGCCGCGGACTGTTCAGTAGCTCATTGAAACTCATTTCACGCTTCTCCTCCCATGGTTCAACGCATTCGTTGAGCGCTCTCGCCATGTGTGCTTGCAAAGCCAGTGCACCGACGTCTTTCTCTGGGTCCTCCAGGATGCATTCCATCATTGGAATATTCCTGCTGTGGGCGCTGCCAAACTTGCTAACAAATTTGATCTCTGGCTTCCGGTACAGGTCCATGAAGTACTGGAGAGGAAGGACAGGGCAAGGCTGCCCGAACTGCGCACCAGAGATATCAAACACGAAGGCATCTCCATCGACAGTCTCCACTGAGAGTACGATATGAGCTGAAATGTCGGCAATGGCTTTGCCATCGAACGCGACTCGTTTCAGTGCGCAAATCGAGGTGTCGATCGTCAAGTCGACCTCTTCGATAGTACGCGAGATACCTGGGACTCTGAGGTCAGCGAATTCACCGTAGAATATCGATCGCCCATCCCCGTCAGTAGCTTCTCGCTCAGCTTGTAGAAGTGTGTGCTAGCCTCAGTGCAAGCTTGAAAGCTGAGTATCGCTCTTCCGTATTTGTCGCCGATCGTAAATGGGAGGGGCAGACTGTAAAGGTTGAAGCCGCGTGTTTTAGGATATTCACCGTCGTACAACACCATACGGCGATCGTGCTCCTCGACTCGATCGATCTTGAGGTCGAAGGACAAGTCCCGAAAGTGATAGAAGGTCAACTGCAAGAGCCTACCGGCACGATAGATCTGCTTGCGCCTGTTGGCCCTGCCGCACTGTTTCTGATGATTGGTGAGATCGAGTTGACGGCACTGCGTGGTGCAATACGGAGTCCGATCCTGTCTGCCATCGAGGTCTAGCCCCTCGCGACAATCACCGCAGATCAGAGTAGGGCGAGGGGGGTTCTTGCCGCAAGCAGCGCACTTGGTGTAGCCGCTGGTTGTCGACATCGCTTCGACACGGAGTAGTGGTTGGTGGTGTATGCTGTTGCAGATGTTGAAGAAGTTGAAAATCGAGTCAGCGAACAGGAAACAAATACCCTGATCGAAGCTTCGCGCTAATGCACGCCCGCGAGTGAACGCAAAGGTGGCCGACCGAAGCAAACACCGTCGCGGCTTCGCGACGAGATTCACGGCCTATCTTTGATCGATCATGAGGATGAAGCCAAGCTTTGGGTATTCGTAATGCAAGTTCATTGTCCTGGTGACTAATCGCTTCCGAAGGAGTTGGACAAGACGATGTGATAGCCCAAACAACGCCACACAATGTCGGACAGCTAAACCAGAGTCGGGGCTAGACACCACAGCCAGCCTGAGCTTCAAACAAGGAGTCGTACCACGTGCACAGCATTTCGTTCTTCCTGCCACTAACCATTGCCATTGTCAAAAGACTTTCAATCACTAATTTCCAGAGCCGCTCAGTTCGCCAAAGCCTCGTGGGTCCAGTAGGTCGCAGCTTTTTCCATAATAGCCATCTGAGCTGTCATGAATGCCTCGCCGTACTCGGATTTCATACTCGACATTCTCTCGTGGGTCCTGGACTCTGAATCCACCCAAACGTTGATTGAGCCGTTCCGGGCCAATGTTGGTTGAATCACATTCTTCCACTTCTCTGGTCGCTCGCGACGTTCCCTGTTCAGCACGTGTCTGCGGTACTTCTTGGCGATGCGAGAACCTGTGTACTCTTTTGAGATGACCGTGACTACTGGCTTGTCCAAAGCTCCCTGCACGTTATCTGCATAATCAATGAGCGGAAAGACTTTTATTGGCGGGTTCTTTCTGAGCACAAGTCGGCCTTGAAGGCTTGCTTCTACAACCAGCTTCTCGATCGTAGCTTCGAGCAGTTTGTATTCGTTCTGTTTAGAGTTGAGCAAGGTCCCGATGTGAGTGGCATGAGACTTCTCCCAGGCCGCCAAGAGCTTGTTGAACAAAGTTGCCATGTATGCTGGGATGATGCGGTCGCGCGGACTGATACCGGTACCGCCAGCGAGATGTCGCAATGTCTCCCTCAGAAGCTGCGCTGAGTAGTGGCCGTGTGGCCAAATCGCGGACAACTTATTTCCGTAGAAGCTGACTGCTGTGTCAAGAGGAAGAACGGCCTCGAATTGGCCATACTGAGCGCCGGTGATATCGATTACGTACGACTCGTCGGCATGAGTCTGAACACAAAGGACTTCATGCCCGCAGGAGGACTCGTGCACACGCCCGTTAGGATAGACCAGCTTTGTCTTGAGCTTGCCCGCCACGTCGTCAAACCCGACCTCTTCGATGTACTTCGAGATACCTTGGCCTCGTTAGCAAGGGGCACCTGCGATTGAAGTTGAGTAATCTACCTCCAAGTAACTTTTTGCTGAGCTTAAAGTGAGTGCCGAGGGCGAGATCGCATCGAAAGATGCTCATGATGGCATGTGCATCATTAGCATCGCTGGTGATCTTGTACGGAGAGGTCTCAAACACGGTCGTGCGGCGGAACGGTGCTACCTCGTAGTAGTACAGGATATCCTTCTCTTTTTTCGTCTGGCTGATCTGAGTGATGAAGTTCAAATCTTGAAATTTGTAGAAGCTCGATTGAAGCAGCTCGCCAGCGCGATAGATCTGCTTGCGAACGTTCCTCTTCTCGCAATCACCCTTGTGTTCGGCAGCGGCCACATCGCGGCAGCGAGCGGTGCAGTACTGGATCGAGTCGACATCTCCGTTGACGTTGACTCCTTCTGTGCAGTCGAAGCAGGTGAGATGTGGACGAGGGGCGATGGCGCCACAAGCAGTGCAGTTGGTGTTGCTCGCAGTGCCGCCAGTGGGCGGTGGAGTGGTCGTGGTGCTCGCCATGGCGTTAGAGGCCGATGGTGATGTGCGGATGAAGATGGTCAGTCAGCAAGCTTGGTGGCTTCGAATGCCAGAAGTTCGGTGGAGCTCGCCGAAAGCCACTAGCGTGTTTGCCTGCGGGAGAAGTGAAGGAAACGGCTTCAGGGGTTGGAATCTGGTTGAACTTCAGTTTTCATTACACAATACTAGACAATTTGGTATCTTAACATTACGATTATATGATTACCTCTACTGGCTTATTGTGTGCTTCCAGACTGGTACTCGCAGAGCTCCAACTTTTGATTCCATGGTGTGCTTCAGATCATGAGCGCGAAAGATCTGATATCAAACTCCGCGTGCTCTTGTAAAGCCTCCTTGGGGAATGGCCAGTCCATTTCGCTGAACGTGCTGCTACGTACGGAAGCAGAACTCTTACTGGAGATGCTGCCGATGTGACTCGAAGGACCGCCATTTGTCGCTGGCGACGAAGGCGCTGTGAGACTTGTCGGGGTCTTGGGAGTAAGATTGGACGCGTTAGGATTGTAAGGCACGTAGCCGCCTGATGTACCCGAGGACGCAGACTCTCCATTGCTTTGCGCAGATTGTATCGCTTCCGCCTTCATCTTCAAGCTTTCGAGGCGGACCCATTTCTTGTACAATACCGGATCGTACGAGCTCTCCTTCCACTCCACGAAGAACAACGTGAGTGCTGTCCAGGCGCGAGTTACGGCCTTCGTCTTGGAGCGCATTAGAAGCAGAGCAGAGAGACATATGGCTGCAGCATCCCATTCAGCTTGAGGGGTGGTGAGCCAAGCCCAGCGAGACAAACTTGGGTCTTCGCGTACGGCACGCAAATTCTCCAGGATAACAGCTGAGCTTGTCAAAACTTCGTCCATTTCATCTCTGCTCAATTGTGGATTTCGATCGCGAAGGATCGCCGTCAGCTTGAGCCTCGCAACTGTAGTCTTGCTTGATGCAATGGCTAGCCGGCAGGTTGAGGAAGAGCAGTCGCAAGCACGATGATACTTGTCCTCCAAGATCTTCTCGAGGTACTCGATCACTGACAGCTTTCCGTCAACGGGCAGTATTGGAAAGCCATTTTCTTCCATGAAGTCTTCGGAGAAAAGGACCGTTCGGAGATAATATGTGATCTCGAAACGTAGCAGATTGCCGAAAGTATCAGCATTGTGCTCGGAGGAATTACGCTTGGCGTCGACGTCTTGGACAGACTCGAAGTCGGCATCTTGTATGGAAATCGGAAACCTCGCGGAGCATCTGCGCTCATAGATGAGAGGGTCAGTGTTGTTGAGCTCCGCGATACGCGCATCGAGCGTACAGATATGCCACCATAATCGACGTCGATACTCGGAGTCCAAGAAAGTCAGTCCTTGGCTATCTGGATCCTGATTGAGTTTGAGCTTCATAGCTATCCGCACGAGAATAGCCAGTAGTGACCAAGCATATGCTCGATCGAGAAAGCGTTGTCCAGTGATCAGATAAAGTGCAAGAGCTTGGACTGCCGCCACAGTTGGCTCCGTCATGAATTGTGATTTCACGAGCGAGGCTTCCACCTTCGTTGCATAAGTGCGCAACAGAGCTTTGTTGGTCAAGCATGATGTCGTTTGTCCCGGCGGTGTCTCGAGACTTGCTGCAGCTGCGAAGCATATGGCGAATTTTAAGCTCTCAGCGTCTGGCTTGAAGTCTTTCGCTTCGTCTTCGGTGGCCAAGAACAAGTGTTGAACTGCAGTAGTGTGTACAATCTTGATCAATGGGTCTACGTTCGACCGATATTGTTGCCACATGGCCCAAAGTCGCTTCGGTGTCACATCTTCCACACGCGCAGTATCGGAACCAGCATCAATATGGAAGGGAAAGCTCGATGATCCGGATGACTCGTCAGATTCCTCATCAAGTTCTGGTATCGGAGGCTCCACTGCGCTGATTCTGCTACTCGTGCTCAAGCCCGAACCGCTCCGGCGATGTGTCCGTGTGTGTGTCTTCAACTCCGCCTCATTGTCTTTTGTAACGATCGCCGCACTTGCCTTGCCCTCCACTGCCGCCAGTCTCGCTGCTAGCTTCTGAACCTGCTCCTCCATCTCGCACAGGCGCGAGTCGTCATTGGTGGACACATCTCTCAAGCGTGAAGGTTCACGGACGGCAACCACAGATTGTTGTCCATAACTCGACCCGCGTCCATTGCCCGAGAGAATCTTCCGACGCTGTATTTCCAGGTAAGACTCCATCTGCAATCGTTGAGTAGAGTTACGATCAAGCAGCTCAGCCGTATTTTCCGTGCGAAGGACGTCGATCCGGCGGCAGATGGTAGACAGAATGAGGTATGATCTCTTGCAACAGCGAAATTAGTTATCAAAAGATCTTTTGCCGGCACCGGAGAGTGTGGCTGTAGCCTGTTGCACTCATGCCGCAGTCCAGGCTCCATGGTCATTTCGAGGCGGCAAGTCCTAGGGCGATTTATCATTGCTCGCATAAATAGAAACTGACAGTTCATCATTCTTGGAAACATCATAACAAACCGGAAAGTTGGCAAGGGTGTGCTTGTGCTGACAGCGAGCTTGGACTGTCGATAGAGTTTGCCTGATTGCGAATGAGCGTAGTTCAGACAATCAGGGTCTCCTCTATTTGATAGAATAGATGCTCTTGCCGCCACAATACATACGCGTGATGACGCCTCTGCCGGAAGAGGTTTCAACTGCAAGTCAAGCGCTGTGAGACCGACTTTAGTCCACACGCCAGATAGGAAGAAGTGTGTGGTGAAGGAAATCACTTTGAACCGAGCGTGAATATTCGAAGACCGCACTTCGATGGCTCACCTGGTCGCTGGTCGCGCGTCGCTCAGTCTGCACGACTCACAAATGAGAAGGACTTGTACGACACGCAATACCACGGGAACCACTGATCATGCCTCAGGTGCCGTCTCGCAAACGATCGTGGCCGCAAGAATGATCAGACTGCCATGCGGGATTGGGCATGAGTACCTGAAATGCAGCGACTGACTCAACGATAGCAGAACAGAAAGTCGTTGCCGGCTCCGGCACCTCCTGCTGTTCCAGCAATATCGGCTACGGCAGGTCCAAACGTCTGAAAACCCTCCGGAAGCGCCACTCCATCATGGGCATCGCACCATTGTCCTCTGCTGCATGAACTGCTACAGGAGAGCTTCGCTTATGTGGCCCTGAGATGAAACTTGCAAAGACACAGGATCCAGTTCGTTGCAAGCGATTAACGCTACGGGCAGTTTTGGTCTCGAAATCTATTGCGCACTCGATAGCATGACATAACGTCACACCGTTGAGCACTCGCCGTGCCTTCATCGTAGATCCAGACGGAGATGGTGAGATTCCTGAAGAGAGAAGAAAGAGAAGCAGCAGAGCAGAATTTCGCGGAATAGTGTGTTCCGGCAGCACCCGCGTCTGCGCCGTCACGCCGAGGGAGAGAGCATATTCCCGACGAATCACATGCAGTGCATTTGCCGGGCAGTTGACCAGGTCGACATCACGACTTTCACTCGCGCGATACTGTTGACGCAGCACAGCACTTCCACCAGCGCTGCCGGAGAACGCAATCATGCTGGCTCAGAGAATCGCGCAGAACTCGCTGCGGCGGCGTATGTAGCCAGGAACACCACCCCATCGACACCCATACTGACATCACAGCAGTCGCCGCGCAGCCCAATGCCCTCCGTTTCGCAGCCCCAGCAGCAGTCGCAATGGGCATGCACACGAGCCAGAAGAGGTGAGATAAACCCTCCTCCGCCTACCTCTCCACCGCGCGAAGAAACACAACCCTTCTAACACCTCCCAGACTCTCCGCAGCCCCCGCGCAACCCATCTCCGACCACGAAGCTCGCAACTCAATCCTCGCCAAACAACGCCTAAACCGCCCCGTAGCACCTCACCTCGCCATCTACCGCCCACAAATAACCTGGTACCTCTCCGCCCTGAACCGCATCACAGGCGTAGCAGTCTCCGGAGCCTTCTACGCCTACGGAATGCTCTACCTCGCAGCGCCATACCTCGGCTGGCACGTCGAGACCGCCGTTCTCGCGGCCTCATTCGCCGCATGGCCGGTTCTGCTGCAAGTCGCTGCGAAGTTCACCGTCGCGTGGCCGTTTGTGTTCCACTGCTTCAATGGTGTGAGACATTTGGTTTGGGATACGGCGAGCATGATTACGAATAGCAAGGTGAAGCAGACTGGATGGTTTGTGTTGGGTTTGTCTACGCTGAGCTCTTTGGCGCTGGCTTTCATTTGAGTGAGAGACTTGTAGCTGTGGACATGTATAAACACAAAGAATCCAGTCAGTCAGAGCAAGCAATAGAATACCCGTATATGCCAGACTTCTTTTGTACGTGCAACTTGTTTACTTGGCCAGGAAATGATCTTTCATAGGTGAGATGACAGTGTGCGTGGCAGCCTTCACAGTTGCACATGCCTCTAACGCATGCTAAGATATGCTTCTAGCCAGTCGTGACGAGCTATTTAGCCAGACGGCAATCACAACAAACATTACTAGAAGCCTTATCACGGAGTCGAGGCTCCAGATCTTCCACCACGGGGCAACACTTGTGCCGAGATGCGTATATACATGACATGCCTCGTAAGCGTTCCATCGGCCGTTAGCTTCGTACTCTCTCTAGGTCGCAAGACCCTCTTTGGCTGAATAATAGCTGGTGCCAGTCGTATCATGGCCTCGAGGTGGATGCGCTCTGAGTGGATGCTCGCCTCGTGGCATACTGAGCAAACTCTCCGATCTCCTCCTGCCGCGTTGTGTTGAAGACGCCGCGCCATCCACCATGGCCTCAGAATGCCTGCGTGCCCAGACTCGTGAATCAAAATCGCCTTGCGCTTCCCGATCCCAGTTCGGTGGATCATGACTCCAATCGACCCACAGACTGCCGCACTAGAACACTGTGCCGTCGGATAGGATCATGATCGGGGGCTCTCTTGTATTGGGTCTTGAGACTTCAGCGATCTCTCGTCCGCCCTGCGAAATATCGTTAGTTCAGCCATTAGGTCGGCGCGATGCAATGGTAGCTCACCTTCCACGTGCCAGCCTCCAGTACTTGTGCCAGGCTGAGCTTGTCATCTCCGGTCAGGCCCAGCAGTGTATTCACCTCAACATGTAGTTCGTCGAGGAAGCCAACAGTCAGAGCACGCCACTCTACGATGACATCGTCGTCAGCTGTGAAGAGGGGAACAACCTCCACGTTGGGCTGACCAGCTCTTGTCGCATTCATTTGGTACTGTGCAAGACCTCTTTGCACATCGTCCTCCTTTAAGGTCAGAAGTCCTGTATCCACCAATAGCCCACCATTTCGGTACTCAGGCAGACCAGTCATGAGTTCAACGCCAACAAAATGCACCTTGGCCAGCTTCTGCATCGGTACCATTAATGAGTAAGTAAGCCATTGAGTTAGCTTGTGGAAGGGCACGATATTCTCCCATGGCGTGTTCGGATGTGAAGGCATGGATCCACATGGCCAAGCATCACCCAAAGGTACGCCATCAATTTGTGTCCTGGTGGCTGGCCAGATGTCGACAAGACCTATCATGAGCGTGTCCCACAGTGTTGGCAACGGGATGACAGGAATAGAAGCAGCATGAGTTGTTGGATGGGCGAGCAGGTAGTCGAGCATGTTTCCTGGTCTTGCGTCCAGCCCGAAAATCTCTCGGTTGAGCAGAGAGTCACCCAGCTTGATGAGCAGGTTGGTGCGACCATTGAGCCCATCGATTGGATTGTCGGGCGTGACTTGCAATCCCTTAGCCATGTTCTCAACAGTGAGCTTCTTCAGACCGTCGCTGTCGACTTGGTAAGGCTGGTTCTCGTCACTGGAGAAGAGTCCAGTCTTGAACATTTCCAAGCTTGCGACCGCGAGCCCTTCACTGCGCTTGTAGATCTTGCCGCTTTCCTTGGACTTGTATTGCCATTTCGTCCCCGCACCTGCGTCTAATAGGACGGAAACCAAGAAGAGATCTATCAGACGGCGGGCACGCTCCTGGTTGTCCACTGTGCTCGGCCAAGTCTGCATGAGCTGATCGACCCGCGGACGGCCACCCACGTCAAAGTGCTGCCATCTCCCATGCGGGGGGATTTTGCTGTAGTCGGGATCAAAGTCCCGCTGTGTGTATACTCAGCTTCAAGTAATGTTGTATGCTGTACCACTGAGGCATACCTTTATGATGGCCACAACGTAGGCTGCCGTATCGGAGAACTTGGACATGTCCACATTGAAGTGGCGTAACTGATTTCTCTTCGCCTTCTCCAACACAAGCTTGCTTCTTTCCCGCACGGCATAGATGCTTCGTAGATAGGCGACTGGGTTCACCTGCGGATCTGGGGCTTTGGGCAGGGGAATATCAGGTATGCTTGCATCGTGCGCGGTGGTGCTGTTGGTGCGCTGCATGGCGAATGTGCGTTTCGAATTGGTGTAGGCGTCGGTGAGGTGTTCGCCGTTGGTGGGATGGTGGTTGGTCTTGTCGCGTCTTCTGAAGAGGCCCATTGTGGCAGCCGGCAGCTCAACCTAGGAGCTCCCCGCGGCGGCGAGATGCGCTACCACCCAGGAACAACCCTGACGTCGGAAGTCGATTCGGCGGCGATATCAATGGGCACTGGCTGGCGATAGGCCGGGGAAGACGTGGGGAGCGGGCAGAGCAAGCGGGCATCAGGCAGCGCGGCGACTGGGAGAGCATCTTCGGCAGTGGCAGCAGCAGCAGCAGCAGCCATCTATACTAAAGTCGTTCCTGTCTTGCGAAGGCTGCTCGCGGGCGCACTCATGCAGGTGCAATTGATCATCAAAACTAGGTACTTTCCGCGCTGCGGATCCAAAACGTGGCTGCCGCGCCTAACCTTAGTGCCGCCCTTGCGCGATACTGGAGAACATCACCGATACCACTTGATTCCCGGCACAATGCTCGAGGATGTGCCATGACCCTGTGCGATATGCCTCGTCGCGGTGCATACACATGACGGTCCGCCAGTGCCATGATACTGTCCCCTCGGCGAGCGAGATACGCGACTGCACAGCAGCATGCACGTTTGACTCGGCGTGCTGTCACGTCTCCTGCGCTTCAACCGGCTGGTGGCTGTCTCCTGAATATGTACTGCAACGACTTTGCGGGACCGACTGGGGAGCAGCATCCGCCGGCTCATCTTCAGCCAATGTCGGGCGTCTACACACCAACACCACCGTTGAAACGTTGAAACGTCTGGCTGTCGCTGCATGCGAAATGACTTCGCATGCGGCATGCAGCAACGCCGGTCGACACACAAGCGCTGAGTTTGGTATACCGCGCGCCTGCCTTCTGCCTGCCAACGTGAACACTGCTGACCGTCTCTCATTCTCTCATTGCTCGAAGGAGAATCATTTTGACCCAAAGATCAACATGCAATCCATTGGCCGGAAGTAGCAGGCGATTCGGAAATACCGTATATGGCACGGCGTGTAATTCCGCATCCAAAGCATCATGATAGCACGGAGTTCTCTCCGTCGTTGTGCACGATGGCTTTCTTCACTGCAGCAATGCACAACGATACGGTATACGCAACATCGCTATGACCACGCGGGCCGACGACTTGTGTCGGCTTCGTGGGAACGCAAGCGGAGGCACGAGCTATGAGGCACCGTCGGTACGATCAAGTCGATCATAGACCTGCCCAGTTGACACCGCTACACATGGGCAACTCAACAATCAGCAGAGCCTCGACGTCATTGTCAAACAACATATCGAAAGCCCCTGCGTCCTCGCTTGTACTTTCTACAACGAACAACGCTGTTCGAGCACCCTTGATTGCTCCTCACATGTAGAATCTTGCAAATGATGTCTTATTGCTAATCTTCGGTAGGCACTTAGTGTCGCAAAAGTCGACTAATCCAAACGCACATCAGCGAGCGGCATCGTGTTCCGAAGACGCTGATCCACAGCCATAGCGACGAATCCGAGGTAGAACACTTTTCATTCACGCAAGTTCCTGCATGTTTGCGGTCGGAGTCCGACGACGCTGAAGGATGATCTAGCCCGGTACGACAAGCGCGACACTCCCTCATATTTCACATCCTTGCCTTGAGTCCGCGCCTCAACTCCAGACCGCCATCAATCACGTCGAAATCTCTACCACGGTCCCAACCCATCCATTTGCCTAAGACTTCCTCACCTCCTTCACCAGGATGCATGCCAGCGCTTGCCCAACCACTGTCTTCGACACCAATACCTTGACCAGTTGCTGGATCGCGTCCATCTGCATCCGCCTCATGGATTGCGAACCCCGGGGAAGACTTTAGAGTCACAATCGGTCGCTGGTCGAAACCCTCCTTCTCAAGCTCTTGTTGCGTTTTCACCGGAGTGACGCAGGCGTCGGTACCATCAAAGATTGCCTCCCATTCCGCTCGCGTCTTCTGCTTGAAGATCTTCTCATATGTCTTCGCTTGTGTCTTCCAGGTCTTCTTGTCTAGCCGGTCCTTGACCCAGCTGGTTTTGGCTGGATCGATCTGCAAGCCCTTCAGAAGCGCGGCAAAGAACTGCGGTTCTAGAGCTCCAACAGCCATATAACCACCATCCTTCGTCTCATAAGTTGTATAGTACGGCGCACCTCCATCGAGTGTGTTTGTACCTCTGGCTGCATCCCACATTGGAGTCTTTGTTCCGAATCTCGGCATGCTGGCCAGGTGTGCTGATCCATCGACCATATTTGCCTCCACAACCTGCCCCTGTCCTGTCCTCTCTTTGCTCAACAGAGCGAGGAGAATGCCCATGAAGCACACTGCACCTCCTCCAGCGAAATCACCCACGATGTTGGCAGGAGGATATGGCTTGTCACCTGCTCGACCGAGCATGCTCAGCACACCCGAAACAGCAATGTAGTTAATATCATGCCCAGCCATATCTTTGTATTTCCCATCTCGTCGGAAACCCGTCATACGAGCTACAATGAGGCCGGGGTTGATCCTCAACAGCACGTCCTGTGGTCCAAGACCCATCTTCTCAAGAACACCCGGTCGGAAGGGATCGATCACAACATCGACAAACTTGACCAAGTCTTTGATCAGAGCGATACCTTGCGCGGTTTTGGTATTCACAGCTATGGAAGCTTTGCGTCTCGTGAGCTGGTCGGACGTCGGAGGTGGAACATCGTCTGAGCTAGATCCGTGAGCTTTGGGGTGAGCGCGATCAACGCGAAGGACTTCGGCGCCGTAGTCTGCGCATAGCATGCCAGCGTAGGGACCTACACATTGCGAACGTCAACAAAGCTGTACATCACCAGAATCCAATGTCAGTAGAGCAATACTAACCTGGAGCCAACCCAGCAAATTCCAGAACACGCAGTCCCGCAAGCGGAGGTGTATTCCCCAGCGCACTCGCTCCTCCATCGACATAGACTGGATTCCTGTTGAAACTCATGATTGATTGATTTCTTTTCTTGCTAATGCCCGATGGCACGAAATTTGTATGGATGTCTACATTATGAGAAGGGGAGAGAAGTCCACGGAAAGAGTTGTCGTGATGTGCGAGTCCTGGTGAGCAGGATAGCCTCGGATCGTGTTCGAAACAGCTTGTTCCCGGTAAACGCGGGGAGAACAAGGGTGAGAGTTTGAGCACAGGCACGGCAGGCACGACAGGGTCCGTCAAGTGCAAGTCAAATATTTGATTAAGCAAGAGTTCTCCAAATCCTTCCGCGTGTTGTTGGTGTCTTCAGCTGATGCTGATGCCTTGCAATCGGGGCCTTCAAGTGGCGAAGCGGATTCGAAACACCTGTGTAGCACAAAGATTTATACAAACAAGATAAGTCTCCTCTCATTATCACTGCAGTTTCCGATTCTTTCCTCATTCTTCGTTTTACCTTTTTTGTGCTTGCAAACTGTACGGGTCATCACTTGACCCAGGATGTCAGACCTAGCATTCCGATCCCAGTCTAGCATTGGACCAGCCTTTGAACCCATCAGGACAAAAGGCAGCCAATTTTGGAGAGGGGACGAGAGGGTGAGTTTTGATCTGTTCCCCGCTTTCTTACAGTCCACGTAGTCCTTGCCTGCCAGTCCAGCTAGCTCTTAGTTCCATTAGATTATGGACTTTCTGACGACTTGTGCATTTAGTTCCTGATCAAAGGCATCAACTATTTCAAGCAGAAACTCGACATAGAAGCCAGCAAGAATGGAATTCGTAGATGGAAACATCAAGACGCGCTCGCGAATGAACAGCTTGATGAATTGCGCGAGGATCTCGAAATTCTGCAAGAATTGGGGATCAATACGCTTCTTGTTCCACAGCTACACCCTACGAAAGATTATGGAGAAGCAATCAACTTGCTCGCTGAGAAAGGGTTCTATCTCATTGTCGAAATCGGTACTTTTGGACGAGAAATTTTGAAGAATGGGCGTGTCTACCGAAATACGGAAATCGATCTGGATGCATGCTATACCTTCGACGCGATACAGGATGATCTTCGACTCGTCGATCATCTTGCGGATTTTCAGAACGTGCTGGGGTTCATGGTCGCGGGAGACTGCATCAATCGCAGACAACAAGTGACAAGATTCGCAGCAGTCTTGCGCGCTTTCGTCCGCGATACTAAAGCTTTCTTACGCCTGCGAGGGGGCCGAACCGTGCCGGTGGGAATTTCCAATCCTTGCGTGATGGATTTGCGGTTGCCGGCGTTGAAGTACTTCACTGCTGGTTCGCGAGAAGAAAGAGTGGATTTCTTTGCTCCGCAAGATTATAGCTGGTGCGGACCAAGCAATTTCCAAATGTCAGGCTGGCAGAGAGCGGTGGAAACACTAGAGCGCGATGATGTTCGTGTGCCGATGTTTCTGGCTGAGTTTGGCTGCAATGCTCGTGAGAGGATCTGGGATGAGATCGCTTGTTTGTATGGGGAGGAAATACTTGGGGCGTACAGTGGAGGTTGTGTGTATTGTTTTGAGGAATACTGGAATGGATATGGAGTTGTGAAAAGAGGAGAGGATGGCCGTGTAGAAAGAAAGCGGGAGTTTGAGACACTGAAAGGACGATTGCAGGAAGCCAGCAGAGCGTCGGCAACTGCCATGTCTGGCATGGAGCCCAGAGATTATGAGAACTGGACCGGAGAGTTCCCTGGAGAGACGAGGAATGATTTGTGGTTGGCTACCAGCGCATTGCCTCGATGCCCTGGAGATCTGGCGGCTTTCGTGCAAGAGCTCAGAGACGAGCGAGAATGGGACGTTGTCGACAGAGTGGAAGGACTTGGTCTGGAGGATGCATAGGGTAGTTTGAGAAGATTGAAGCTCGGTCACTAGATCATCCGATAATGTCAACTTGCCTCAAATTCCGAACCGTGTGAGACATGCATGTGACTCCTGTTCCCGATACTGGATGAACTAGATCGAAGTGCCTAAGAATTGTGAGTAGCGAGGCGCGAGGGGAAGTGGCAGACGCTGTGGAAGTCCCCTCAAGCTGGAATTGGCGTGAGTCGATCTTGCCGTGATCATGAGTGCCAAAGATAGAGGAGAATCCGGGTCTGTGGTTCAGGCTTATCGTAGCCCCTCCTGGCTAGTCAGACGCTCGTGAATGGATCGACCAGGCGGCGAATGAACCAAGGTCAGGTGGACGCAGCGTGGAAAGTCAGTTCGGGACTGCAGTGTGCGGAGTCGGTGGTGATGTGCTGTGTGAACTTGACTGCCCAAAGTGCCAGCCCCTTGCATGAGGTAAAGAAGTAGGTCGTCTGTCAGCAGGACTTGCGTGTGTGTCAGAAGCAACGCGACGACGGAAGGGGAGTGGTGAGGAGGGGACGAGCGGCGCGGGAGGCGGCTGTGACATCGGGCCTTTGAGCTTGCTGCTGCTGCTTCGCCGGAGTGCATGAATGAGATCACGAATCCCAGATCACGCGTCTGCCTTTCTCGAACCAACCCTTCCGCTCTCTCGCACCCGGCTCTGCAGCCATCTGGCACACATCTGACACCATCGCCGCATCTGCACTTACTGTCGTCAACAGCGACCCCGTCCACCGAACGAGCTGCCCCTTCTCCGAACCTCCCAGCTCGTCCAAGTGGCGCTCATCAGCCTGCTCCTTCTCGGAACGTGTGATATCGTCCACTGCTGCCTCGCCTACACACCTGCCGTCCACCTTGCTGGTCACAGATGCACCGCAAGATAACATCCTTCAACTGAGGATATTACACATTACTGCCCTTGGCCCCGCGAGGCCAGAAGCGGCAGTATATCCTCCAGCACGTTTGCTACGTGCTAGTCATCGCGCTGGAGAACGACCACATCAATCCCACCACCTCCCCACTCAACACCGCCGGCCCACACGACTCCTCCGATCCCCTTGGTCCTGTCCGCCAGGAACCACCACCAGCACACGACTCTACTGCACAAGCCACCCCTCAGTATACCTTATCTGCTCCCGAGGTTCACACGGCGAACACCGCCGACACATCGTTTGAGATCAGCTCTGAGCCGTCGGATCGATCACGCAAGCGAAGACGCCGCTCTTCGCTTCCAACGACCGCCAGCCGTCTTGCTTCACCTTCCACTAGGGACACTGCTTCGGGTCCGCAAGCCCGCAAGCGTGTCAGAGTTCACGACGACATAGCGAGTACCGAGGACGAAAAGACTATGCGGTTAGATCCCGCCGAGCGAACACAGCAACGGCCTTCGACCAACGGCTCCTCGCAAAACGGCTCCTCTCCTCCGCATACAAATGGCTCCGTCAAGAGCGATACGAACGGCTATCATACGAACGGCCATGCAGGCGGAACGGTAGCACGGAACAAAGAGCCATTCTTCGGTCACGACAGAGAAGAGGTCACGCGGATACTCTTGCAGACGCTGAGCGATCTGGGATATCGAGATGCGGCGAAGCAACTGTCAAGAGAAAGTGGCTATGAATTGGAGATTCCCAGCGTGGCAGCATTCAGAAGCGCTGTATTAAGTGGGGAGTGGGAAGAAGCCGAGGCGTTATTGCTAGGAACAGATGCCCTCGAACTCGATGGTGGAGTTTCTCTTGGTAACGGGCACGGATGGTCAAAGGCTGACAGACTGTCCGGTGGAAGTCAGAACGGGTCGTCAAGAAGAGGACTTCCACTGGCGGAAGGAGCTAACCTCACGTTGCTGAAGTTCTTGCTGCGACAACAGAAGTACTTGGAATTGCTTGAAAAACGGGATTTGAAGTCGGCACTGGATGTTCTCCGCAGCGAGCTTACGCCTCTGAGAACCGACACTGGAAGATTGCATTTCCTTTCGAGCCTCGTGATGTGCGTCTCGACCGATGATCTCCACGCGCAAGCGGAATGGGATGGCGTGGAAGGCGAAAGTCGAAGCAATCTGCTTTCAGAAATATCGAAGTCAATATCGCCCTCTGTAATGATACCAGAGCACCGCCTTGCGACCTTGCTGTCCTCTGTGCAAGAAGAACAGATTCTGAAATGCAGATACCACAACACCACGGCGCAGCCAAGCCTGTACACGGATCACGAATGCTCAGTAGACGACTTTCCTCTACACACTCAGCTTGAGCTACGAACACATTCGGACGAAGTCTGGTTCGTGGAATTCAGTCATGATGGGTCCATGCTGGCTACTGCGGGCCAAGACGGTCTCGTTGTGGTGTACGATACAACACGCTGGCGACCAATACACGAGTTCAGGGAGCACGAACGCAGCCCTTTTGCAAACGCCGCTAATGGCGCGGGAGCCGCTCGCGATACTAGGGGCATCACGTACATCGCATTCTCTCCCAATGATCAGTATCTGATCTCTTGTAGCAAGAATCACGAATTCGTTGTTGTCAACGTGCGTGATGGGCAGAGAGTCTGCTATGGGGACCACTTTGACGATTCAATCACCTGCGCGGCGTGGCTCCCAGATTCGGAGACCTTCATAATCGGAACGATGAGCTTTAGGAGACCTCTCGGCATGTATTCACTCCGATCGGCTGGTTCCACAAACAGTGGTTCGGTGCTCCGGAATCCTGAGATACACTCATGGCGGGATCCTCCTTGGGATCCCACGATGAAGAGTGATCAGCCGCTCACCAAATTCAGACTTACCGATTGCGCAGTCGACTCAACTGGGACACGCATGGCTGCGACTACCACTGACCACCGCATCATGCTCTTCTCCCTTAACAGCGTGGATAGGTACCGCAAGCTTGCGGAATGGCAAATGGACGCGTGGCTTACATCAATCAATTTCTCTGCAGATGGCGATCTCCTCCTCGTCAATATGAATGAGGGTCGAGTGCTTGCGATCGACTCGGAGACTGGCGAAATCGTATGTAGATACGAAGGGGCAGTGCAACGAGACTTTGTCATCCGCAGCGCTTTTGGAGGTGCTGGAGAAGGCTTCGTTATCAGCGGCAGCGAAGGTGAGTTGTAGCGTGTTTTCCGTACGAACCTTGACTGATAGCCAGCAGACTCCCGAGTGTACATTTGGCGGAGACAGACGGGCCTGTTGGTCGCTGCGCTTGAAGACCATCACCCTGGTCCCGTGAATTCTGTTGCGTGGCATCCTACCAATCCTGGCATTTTCGCAAGCGCTGGCGATGATCGCCGTGTCAGAATGTGAGTACAATGCTTCCTCACTTTCAAATCACGCTGACTTCTCCAGATGGACATCTGCAAACGCCAGACGAGGAGCGGATTCGACAGAAGCATCATCAGGCGCAGTACGACCCCTCAGCAGCGGCCTAGGGAGAAGCTATTACTAGATGAGCTGATCGTGGCTCAATGTTCGTTGCATTATGCACACGCAGGTAGCGTCGGCGTCGGCGGACAGCATTGGATTTAGGGGACCACCAGTGGACATGAGATGGCATGGCATGACCTATCCACACGTAGATATTCGGAAGCTGGAACTATCGCCACTACTACAATACAGTGCATGGCCACACAGAGTGGTTCATGAGACTCTGCACATTGACTATGGTCGCATGAACAACTGTCATTTAGCAGAGCGGATCAAATTCATATTTCTCACGCATTGCAGCAGCGGGTCTGTTATGCAATCTCGCTCTGCAGTAACGCGACTGAGCAGGTTAGACGCAAAACCTGATACCAATTCATCGCCGACTTTCACGCGCACACAAATTCGGCTTCACGTGCAGGCGTCTTCACACTCACCTCGGCCTGCCCAGACTCGAGTATGCTCAGCGCGCGGCGTCGGTCCTCGAGTGGGCAGTCTCTGAGAGTGATTACACGAAGGAGATGGGTTGGCAACGCGAGAACGACGGGAGACGGCAATGTCATTGGCTCGGAAGTTGACGAGTGGAGGGCAACGGCAGCGGCTCTTTACCAAGACCAAAGTCAGCAGCAGGAAACAATCTCCGCGTGCCATTAGATTAGGGGCCGTCGAAGGATGCTCGCGCTTCCCTACAAACTTTCCCTCGTCCCCAGAAACATCACACATCTCTCGTCGCGTGCCGTTTGATCGTGTCGCCTTCTGCTCAATCACCTTCTTCTCGTCACTCCTTTTGGGTCGCTGCTGCAGAGGCCACAAATCTTCGGCGTCGAGAGGACAAGAGCCGCGGCATTGAGGCTCCCGATTTTCTCGACTGCATCAGCTGCCACCAACACGCACGTACGCGACGCTGAGGCTTGCAGCGCATCCGCCACGTCCCGGCATCCATTGACGTCGACTTTTCCTCGCCGCGCACCCCTCGACTTTCACTTCATTCAGCAGCATAATGTCAACTCCAGACTGGTTGGAATGCGGCGTGCCCACGCTCGACAGACCCTTCGGCGTGGCACTATGGCCCATCTTCGCAAAGGCTTTCACGGCCGTGAAGGGCTACACGCCAGATGAGTTCCGCTTCATTCCAGGAAAGACGCCAATGGCGACCATGGCCGAGACGGCCATCTCGCTCATTTCCTACTACATCATCATCTTCGGAGGGCGAGAGTTGATGAAGGACCGCGAGCCGTTCAAGCTGAACACGTTCTTCAAAATCCACAACTTTTACTTGACGGCCATCAGCGGTACTCTTTTGCTGCTCTTCCTCGAGCAGTTGATTCCGACGCTCGCGAGGCATGGCGTGTTTTACGCCATCTGCCACTACAACGGTGGCTGGACGCAGCCATTGGTTGTTCTGTACTACGTGAGTGCCGAGATCTGAGAAGCGGGCGCCAGAAACGAGCGAGAGCAGAACTGACGTGCGACAGCTCAACTATCTGACCAAGTATCTCGAGCTGATCGATACCTGCTTTCTCTTCCTCAAGAAGAAGCCGCTTACTTTCCTCCACACCTACCACCACGGTGCGACCGCCCTCCTCTGCTACACCCAGCTTCTCGGCCACACCGCGGTATCCTGGGTGCCAATCACGCTGAACTTGATGGTTCACGTTGTCATGTACTGGTACTACTTCCAGTCTGCGCGCGGAATCAGAATCTGGTGGAAGAAGTACATTACCATGCTCCAGATCATCCAATTCGTGATTGATCTCGGATTCGTCTACTTTGCGTCCTACACCTACTTCAGCGCCCGATACTTCCCATGGCTGCCGACCTCCGGCATCTGCGCAGGCGAGGAATTCGCGGCATTCGCTGGAATGGGTATCCTCAGCTCCTACCTCTTCTTGTTCATCGGTTTCTACATTTCGACCTACAAGAAGCCAATCAAGAAGGGCCGCGCCCGTGCTACCAGCGCTCTCGTGGAGATGAAGGACGAGCAGGTTCCAGATGTTGGTCAGGTCCGGAGAAGGATGAGCGGTAATGCGCAGAACATGAATGGCTACTCGACTGGCAAGGATACCAATGGCACTCCCAACGGCAGAGTCACCAGGTCGAGAAAAGCATAAGCGCTCGGTGCGGCAATGCTGGCACGAGCAAAATTCTCAAATCGTGTGTAGGAGCAAGGAGCTGTAGCGGAGTGGTCGAGATCAAGGACACCACTTGGTCAGAATGGGCGAGCAGCGATTCGAAATGGAGTGGAGGGACACAGCCCAGTTGGCCGGTCCACAAAATGAAATTCGTGTAGATTTTCTAGGGAAGGTCATCCAAAGGTGTAAAACGGCGTACGAATCAACAAGGAGGGGCTGAAGGTGCATAGCAAGAGAAGACGTTTTGGCATGAGAAAGAACAAGCAGTGGGTTACTACAACAAACAAACTGTAAGATACGAAATGCATGTGAGCGGAATGTGTGGGTTGCGTGCTTGCACGCGTGGTCAAGGTACGCCATACAAGAGCACATTTTTTAGATGCATATAATAAAGCTATGAAAAAAAGACATAATCGAAGTGTAGGCTTTGTGCCATTCGCGTGTACGTGTCAAAGCTAGCTCTACCAATGCTGCCTTCCGCAGGGACGCGAGAAGCGAGAAGATTGTAGTTTCGGCGCCGACGTCGCTGCTACACACACAAGCACACCCACAGCCACGACTCTCGAACAGCCTGCCAATGCGACTCGTCCTCATCCTCATTGAATCGACCTCGCAAAGCCCAGAACCGGGTCAAAATCTAGAGCGCTTGGAACTCCGGTAGGAAAGCCGACCGCCAGTACGCTCAATACGTCTTGGCGAGTTCGCTTGGTGGACGAGGTAACCTATGTGCTCTGCCAGTGTACCATTACGCTGACCGAAGAGCATACTGCTGTCTTCGATACCATGAGTCGTAAGAGTCGAAGATGATCTGCTGGATCAACCCTGCATACGACCTGATCGCCAGGCGATCGTATCAAGGCTGAGGAGTAAATCTTTTGGTCGCCTGTTCCTGGCCGGCTCATTGTGCGCTGTATCACCAGAGGTGGTGAGAGAAATGCGTCATTCGTGCTCTCATCGTTGCCTGTGCTGAAGTGCGGGCAGTGAGGGTTCAAAGGCACGGATTACCCTCGAACTCCTGGGGAAGCTTCCTTTTCTGCTTACTCCTTCTTTCCACTGATAATGGATTTCTTCTTCCGTTTGCGAATTATTGAGGACCGTTTGGCCGACTGCACCGAAAAGGCCCAATGCTACCACCTAGAGCTGCTATTATGCAGGATAGCACCAGGCAACAACCCAGGTCTTGCTGTTCTTGCTGTTCCATGACCGGACGATGATTCGTTCCATCAATGTCAAGCACGATTTTGTGCACCGCGCATTGAATACGTCCGAATCGCTGGCATGTTGGTGTGGCATACACCACAAACCCTTACGTTCTACGAGGATGATGGATCCACACTCGCGACTATCTTGCCTGGCCGGACATCACTGAACTGGAGACGGTGTTGCTGCGATCGTACGATCTTCACTATGCAAAGAGAGCAATGGACAGTATCTAGTGGATCAGTGTGAATGACATCAACAGGTGCCAGGCTCTTCATAACATAACATTCATGCAAGAGCTGGAGTGTCTCCTGATCAGATCTGCCCACTACGAAAATGAAGGAGCAGGCGGCCGACTTCTGGCCGCAGAAGAGCATGCCGGGCGTGCGAAGCAATATGTACTGGACTTACTGTGCCGTCATGGCTGGAGGATATGATGCACACAAGCCCAACAAATCGACCAACATGCGTAGGATCGGGCTGAGAATAGCAGTGCAGGGTCTGCAGTCCTACAGGCGGAGCCCATCAGCAACTTCGAGCGAGCGGAACATGGTGCTGGTAAGTGATCAATCCACTTATTCACACTGTCGGGTTCACATACGAGACAGTGGATTTTCGTTCAAGAAAACCTGAACGATTCCACCAATGTACTTCGAAACAGCAGAAAGAGCGCCAAAGGAAAGGATCCGATCCTGCGTTGCGCATGCATTCAATCATATGCGCGGAGAGAAGCCCGTGCTCGCGGACTTCCCAACGGACGTCGGAGGACGCCAGTCTTCGGCAGCAAAAAAGTGGATGGCACCACGCCACCTCACACCACATTCCTTGCAAAAACGATGTCTTAATCAATCGATTACTGTCTGACTAACAGAGATGTCCAATCAGTGATCCGCGCTTCGGACCTCGACGGTATAATGCTCGTTTTGCGCAGCGTCCCCGCTGGCTAGGCTGTAGCACAACGGCACCGGCCTTCACTTGCGGGAACGTTGATCGCGAGACTCTGCCCAGGACAGAGTCTGGGCTCGTGTAACAGTCGGCAAACATATATACTGATCCTTCGCTGAGTGTTGTAGGACGTACATAGTTCACCACATATCACGATATCCAAGTTGCGTGCCATACCAGACAAACTTCCAAGAGACCAATCAGCAGAGACCGACACAACTCATATCAGACCACTCATCAGGTCAGGACACACAATGGCAGACATGGACACCAAGTCCACGGAGATTGTGAACTGTTTTCCATCACTACAATGCATCAGCGGGAACATCCCAGATGAATGCAAGACAGGCAATATCGTATGCCCAACTCTACCGCGATCAACAAGCGACTCGAACATTACATTTCCCAAACCTCCCGCCGGAATCGCCTCAACAGCAGTCAGTAGCGACTCCGAATCCGGCTCCGAAGCCACCAAACAACGATTCCAAACCCAATCACAACACTCCCATCTCACCTCAGATCAACAACAATCACAACCCCANCGCCGCATCCCCCACACAATAATCGAACGACGCTACCGCGACAACCTCAACACCCAGATCGAAACCTTACGCCTCTCTTTACCTTCTCTCAAAAACGCCTACGTCTGTTCCCCCGATGTGGAAGATTCGGCTTTGCCCCCGAGGTTACCTTCGAAAGCGATGATTATTGCGACGGCGGCGACGTATATCAAGGAGTTGGAACAGGAGAGGCAGGCGGCGATG